CCATTATGGTGGACCATTATGGCCTCCCTCCCTCCCTCACTGACTCTCCCATTGGTTGTACCTAAGTGTCTGTCCTGCCTCTCCTTCCCCGCTGGTGTCTCAGTTCTGTAGACAGCTATCAAGAGTTAGCTTTTCAGCTTTGTCTTTACCTGACAAGTTAATTTCGTTACTTTATATTCCACATATTAGTGACACTATCTGGTATTTATCTTTCTCCTTCTGACTTATTTCACTTTGCATTATCCTTTCAAGCTCCATCCACGTTACTGCAAATGGCATGAGTTTCTCTTTTTGATCACTGAGTAGTAGTCCATTTTGTGGTATATATACAGTTTTACTTTTTGATCCTATGACATTTTCTCAGGTCTCAATATTTCCAAAGCTCCTAAAAAACTCATAGGCCCTGCACACTCTTGTGCCTCTTATGCCTAATGATAAAGCATCTTTGAAAAGAGGATGAGGTATCACATCTAGAGCAAGGGTGCATATCCCATTAAAGAATCAGAAGAATAGCTGTCACCCTAAAATTCTAAAAGTTGGAGAACGTGAAGCAGAATTTATTGGAATGTTCCTCTGACTCAGGCCTCTCTGAGCCTTGCTCTTCAAAGGATGGCTTGTAGATAAATAGTATGAGTATCTCTAGGATCTTGTTAGAAATGCAGGATCTCAGGTCCCACACCAGACCCACTGCGTTTTAGCAAGATCACCAGGTAGGTACCCATTAAAGTTTGAGAAACACTGCTGTCTCTGAAATAATAGTTCTCAACTCTGGGTCTACATAAAAATCACGTGGGAGCTTTAAAAATCCTATCCAAGTTGTTCCCCAATCCAATCATTAGAATATCTGGGGCTCCCAAGTGCTTCCAATGAGCAGTGAGGTTAAGACTCACTAGTTCATAATAAGGTCGCAAGGCTCTCTGGTGTATACCAGCAAGTGAATTTCAAGAAGACGTGGACACTGTGTTTGGGACCAGCTTATAAATAACAAATGGGTAATCTTTGCTGTAGAATGACCTCTCTCACATGGAAGATTGAGTTTGTTAGAGCCTTTTCAGAACATTAGGCCCTGTAGTCTAAATCCCATATATGTCCTATTTCACTGACATGAGAGGTTGTTGTTTCTGAACAATCCAAGCTAGAGCTCTGGACCAAAAGGAAGTTTTTTTAATGTAAAATTCAGCTGTAGTGGCACTGTGTGTGTTTATTGAGCTTCAAAGCATGAACATTATAACCACATGTTGAGAATGTAAATTTTTCTTCTTTAACCTGACGAGTCTAACAATCTTCTAGGTTTGTTTTCTTTTTTTCTCCTCTCTCCTCAATAATCTTCTAGTTAATGCTGAAATAAGAGCTGTTTCCTTGCCTAATGGCTTTCCATTTTCTAATAATTAAACTTTAGTGTCACATAGTAAAGTCTGAGTAAAGTACTTAGGGAACTTTAATAATTTTTTCAGTTACTATCATCAATTTTGCCAATGGCTATGGAAAATTGTCCATTGATATTAGTATTTGCAGGTGATTTATCTCTGATAGGACATTCACTGGTGCTTTCTGCCATTTGGGGTATTAAAGAAGCCACAGGAGTTCTCAACCTTACAGGCTTTATGTGCTTCACCTCCATGGAACAATTCATTTAATGATGTGAATGGCATGTATATAATATACATGCAGGTACACAGTGCTGCTCATGGCACAGTAGGTGCCCACAAAATGATGATTTTTCTTCTCTTTCCTCTTCTTCACCTTGAGCTTCCATATTTGGCCATCCAATTTCTTCATCTAATTAATGTCCCTATGCCTCGCCAGGAGGTGATAATAGTTCCAACTTGATAAAAATATTGCATATTGTGTCCTTCAAAGGCTATAAATATTCTTCAAATTAGCAGATACTCTTCTTACCTACATTTTACAAGTAAGATAACCAAGGTGTGAAGTTGTTGGGTCTTCTGTTTTGTTTCATTTTGTTTTACCTAGGGTCATTCAATTACACCCTTCAGTTCCAAATCATAAGGGGAAACTGACACTCATCATATCACAGGCAGCCCATTCTGTATGGAGTTCAGATAAGATCAAAGATGTTTTCAATATTAACTGTTTTGTTTTTTTTTATTTAAATAATAAATTTTATTTTTATATTCCCCCATACAATTGCAAACCCCCCATTCTGACCCCAATCCCTCCCCTCCCACTCTCCACCCCCCAAAAAGTGTCTCTGGTTCATAGTTTTTTGTTGACTTTGATTTTCACTTTCTTATATTCATTTTCCTGGTCCCTTATTTAAGTTTTCTAGATTCCTGCTATGAGTGAGACCATCCGGTATTTTTCTTTTTGGCTTATTTCGCCGAGCATGATCCTTTCCAACGCCATCCATGTTGCTGCAAATTGCATGTGTTTATCTTTTTTGAATGCTGAGTAATATTCCATGGTATATATGTACCACATCTTCTTGATCCATTCATCTATTTTTGGGCATTTGGGCTGTTTCCAAAGCTTAGCTATTGTAAATAGTGCTGCTATAAACATAGGGGTGCAGGTGTTCTTTGGAATTGATGTTTCTGTGTCCTTTGGGTAAATACCTAGGAGTGGAATTGCTGGATCATATGGAAGCTCTATGTTTAGTAGGTCCAGAAATCTCCACACAGCTCTCCATAGTGGTTGGACCAGTTTGCACTCCCACCAACAGTGCACAAGAGTTCCTTTTTCTCCACACCCTCGCCAACATTTGTTTTTGCTAGTTTTTTTAATATGTGCCATTCTCACTGGTGTAAGATTGTATCTCATGGTAGTTTTGATTTGCATTTCCCTGATTACAAGTGATGTTGAACATTTTTTCATATGTCTGTGGGCCATTTGCATTTCCTCTTCAGAGAAGTTTCTTTTTAGCTCTTCTGCCCATTTTTTGACTGGATTATTTTCTTTGTTGTTGCTGAGTCTCATCAGCTCTTGGCAGATTTTTGTGATCAGTCCTTTATCATTAGTGTTGGGTGCAAAAATGTTCTCCCATTTGGTGGGGTTTCTCTTTGTTTTTGTTATTGTCTCTTTTGCTGTGCAGAAGCTCTTTAATTTGATGTAGTCCCAGCTGTTTATCTTTGCCTTCACTATCACTGCTTTGGGTGATGTGTCTGTAAAGATGTTTTTGATGTGCAAATCCCGTAGTGTTTCGCATATATTTCCTTCTATGTATTTTATGGTTTCAGGTCTTATGTCTAGTTCTTTAATCCATTTTGAGTTGATTTTTGTGTATGGTGTGAGGTAGTGGTCAAGCTTCATTCTTTTGCATGTAGTGACCCAGTTTTCCCAGCACCATTTATTGAACAAACTTTCTTTGTTCCATTGCATAGTCTTTGCTCCTTTGTCAAAGATTAGTTGACCATAAATCTGTGGGTTTATTTCTAGATTTTCTATTCGATTCCATTGGTCTGTATGTCTGTTCTTGTTCCAATACCATGCAGTTTTGATGATTATGGCTTTGTAGTATAGTTTGAAGTCTGGGAGTGTGATGCCTCCATTTCCTTCTTTTTTTTTTCAGTAGAGCTTTGGCTATTCGGGGTTTTTTGTGATTCCATATGAATTTCATCAATAATTGTTCTATTTCTTTGAAGAATGACATTGAAATTTTGATTGGAATAGCATTGAATCTGTATATTGCTTTTGGTAGGATGGCCATTTTAATAATGTTTATTCTTCCAATCCATGAGCAGGGGATGTCTTTCCATTTCTTTGTGTCTTCTTCTATTTCTTTTAACAGTGTTTTATAGTTTTCTTTGTGTAGGTCCTTTACCTCTTTTGTTAGATTTATTCCCAAATATTTGATTTTTTTTGTTTCGATAATAAAAGGGATGTTTTTTTTTATTTCTTCTTCTTCAGATTTATTGTTTGTGTATAGGAAGGCTACTGACTTTTGCGTGTTGATTTTGTATCCTGCCACTTTACTGAATTGATTGATGAGTTGAATTAGTTTTTCTGTGGAGTTTTTGGGGTTCTCTATGTATATTATCATATCATCTGCAAATAGTGATAGTTTGACTTCTTCTTTTCCTATTTGGATTCCTTGTATGTCTTTCTCTTGTCTTATTGCTCTGGCTAGGACTTCCAGTATTATATTTTTCAATATTAACTGTTAATACATCTGTACTTAGTTTTTAGTAGTTTGGGGGAGTGGCCATTCTTATTTCAATATAATGCTGTATCTAATATTAAATGAAACTATTGGAAAGGCATTCAATTTTGAATGCATACTCTTACCTCTGAATATATACTCTTACTGCTTACAAAGTGCAGAACTCTAGAATTAACTAAAAATGCTCACAAATCCTTTTTTAAATCTCCCCAGCAAAATAATTATGACTGTATATGTTCCCTGTATCAGATTCCCCACTTTCTCCATGCTCAAGAAGGGGCCCCTACTCTGGACACTATACGATACTGTAACACTGTCAGTATGGCACAGCTGACTACTGGGTTATAGATAATTTCAGTCTGTAGTTGTTTCTTCAGCACTGTGTTGTAGCCATGAGAGGGAGATTCTACCTTCCATAGCTCTTTGACACTCTAATAGGAGCGAGCAGAGATGGGACATCTAATAAACATTTAATATAATCTCATTTTATCCTATTTAGTTCATCTTTACCTTCACTCTTTTTTCCGTACTTTTTAAAAGAGTAACTTTCTTCTTGTCAACCAAATATGGAATAATATGCTTATATTAAACCATTTTGCTTTGTTTGGAAATTAATAAAAACAAAAACATTAAGAAATTAATAGATTTCTGAGTTGTATGGGTTCATAGATCTATTTATCATTTGTTTTATAAAGAACCTAACTTCAGTGATAGATTTTTTTTTTGTATAATGTCCCTTTTCTTCTTGAATTCCAAATATGAATTGTTTAATATTGCTCCAATGTCTACTGAAGGAGATTTTCTTTTATCTGAGTTGCTTTTAATTCTTAATTATCTTTACTAAATTCTAACATTAAAATGTATTCTTTTTTATCATTAGTGTTATTATTACAACAGTTCTGTATCTGTCAGATGCACTTCGGAAGAACTTCTTAAATGAAAACTTTGATTATAAGGTAAATATCCTTTTAGATGACTGTGTCCCACTTAGGCTAAAAGTATCATATTGTACTTCAGAAAATTACCTAATGTTTTTTCCTTCTCTGTTAGGAAAATAAAATTGTTCCAGCTACCTGAAATTCATCCTGGGTCATGTTAACTTTGACTATGAAAAACATAGAACTTTCATTGTATTTGTGAATAGCGTAAGGCTATAATAATGCTTATCAAATCTGATGGAAATCATGGGGCTCAAGAGGAGATAGTTCTTTGTTGTTACTTTGCATTTTAATTCTTGTTCTTTTCTTTGTGATCCCCAGGCATGTTAAAGGGAACTCAGAATATAATGTTCTTTAGACAACTTTCATAGAGTTTATTTATATGTATCATGTATCTGAGAAGAAAATATTTATAAACACTTAAGTTTCTGTACTTTTCCATCTTAGCATTTTTAGGGTAAATTAATGAAGAAAAAATTATTAGGAATATTCCTTAAGGCACAGGTCTTTGTACATCTGTAACATAACATGATGTGCCTGGGTACCTAAGAATTCTTGATATTCTTTTAAGTGGCAAATGATAAATGGTAAACAAAGATGGAAAGATAGACAGTGTCTATGTTTGCTTCCCTTCTCAGCGATGTTTTATGTTTTTCCCACCTTTATTTCTTATTTTTAAGTAGCATTTTTAATGTTAAACATTTATGAAAATAGAAAATTTCTTTATTAAATGTCTTAGAAATGCCATACACACACACACACACACACACACCTGATACCATGCCTTATAATAATCAGTGTCAAAATTTCATAAGTGAAAATGTGTTTTTAATATGCAAGCTATTTTTGCTCTTTCAGTCTTATAAATTATTCTTTATATGTGTATTCTGACAAAGTAGAATTTGGTATATATCTCTAAATATAAGTGAAATGGTTGAGTTAAAAATTATACCAATTATATGTGATTTTCTGTTTCATATGTCAACACCAACTTGGAAGAGATAACTTTTTTTTGCAATTTGAGAAGGGGAAAAACCTTTTTGCTTTAATTTACATTTCTTACTAGTTATTAGTTACTAGTTTTTAGTTACTGAGTAAAATTCACATTTTGGGAAATATCTCTTGACTTTTGATTATTTTGCTTGGGGTCGTGTCACATTCTTTTTTACTTGTCAGCGTTCTTTATGTATAAAAGATACTTATTCTTTGTATTATTTCTCCTGCTTTTTAGCTTCAATTTTACATGTTGTCAGGAGAGAAGCTGTTTCCTTCTATGATGTCCTACATCATAGAATGTAGGACATTTAATTAAGTTTATTTGTGGGAATTTTCTTTTGATCTTTCTGGTACTTTTTTTGGCATAAGAAAGTTTAGACTTAAAAGATTTGTCTAGGGGCCTCCCCCGTGGCACAGCAGGTTGAGCACAAGTTCAATTTCTGGCCTGCCAGGGAGATTCCCACATGGTGCAGCAGACCTCTCCTGCCTCACCCGCTGCTCCCCAAAGTAGTGTTTCAGTCCTTCTGCCTATTCTGCTCCCTGCTCTGTGTCTGGTGAATTCTCTAGCCCTCCTGCGCCTCTGGCCTATACCCCAGTGCTTGTATAAATAAATAAATCTAAAAAAAAAAAAAAAAAGATTTGTCTGGACAGGGAATTTTTATATACTGTCTGAATTTAAAGCAATTAGCATAGCCCAAGAAATGTATGTATTTTTTTTAGTTCAACATTAAAAGGACTTCCAAAAATGAATTCACACTGGAATAAACTAATCCATTATGATTCAGCCTCCTTGGAGATGTTCAAACATAGGAAAAACAAAACATCTACCATTTAGGATATACCAGAGAATTCATGAAACCTGAGATTGGCATTGAAGCAATATATACATAGATGGTATTTTTTTAGTTTACTTCTTTGTTGTAGAAAATTTCAAGTATGTATATAAAGAGCCTAGGGTGAACCCCCATCTACCTACATCCAGCTTTGAAGATTATCAACTCACAACCAAGCTTATCTCAACTATAACCCATTCACTTACCACTCCTGAAATAAATCCAAAATGTCACTTCACCTGTAAATATTTTTGTAACACTGTCATGTTTAAATGTCTTGTTCTTGTTTCAGATCTGGGATTCCTACTTTTATCTCGCAGTCATTTTTATAAACCAGTTGTGTCTGCAATTAGAGATGTTCACACCTTCCAAAAAGAAAAAGGTGTTAGAAAAGTAAGTACCGGCATACAACAGGTGGGGGTATAAGGCAAATCAAATCTTCCTTTAAAGGGATTTTAGTTCAAATGATTCATAAATCAGACATCAATAACTAGAAATTACAGTAGTTTCCTCCTTGGCTGAAGGCACAAGAAGCAATCTTTTTTAGAAATTTCAATATTGAGCTTATTTATATATTTTGTTCTCAAACTTTTAGGATTCAAATTTACTATCAAAGCAAAAATTTAGGAGACAAATCTGTTTTATTAAAAGAGTTTATGTGAGGATTTGAGTTAGGAGCAATTAAACATTTTGATTAAAAACATAATTAGCTTTTAATTCAAAATGGTAGATTGTATCCTAAAGAGACATATACTTCTTTGTTCTGGAAGCTTTGTATCAGGTTTGGTTTTTGTCCTATTTCAGGTATGGTGACATGCGAGTAACAATGGGCTGTGAAATTTTCAGCATGTGGCAAAACTTAGGTAAGTCATGACAAGAAAAACCACCTGCAGGGTATAGCTCATCACTGAATTTTTGAGGTATACAAATGAAGAAGGGCATTTTATCATGACAGCATTTGAAATCAAATGTCTAAATCAGTGAAAATATAGAAAGCAGTTGAAACTTTGGCATTGAATAAGGTTACAATTAATTCTTTATATTGGTGTCTGTCTGAAAAAAATCAGTTTACCTTTGTGCATTTCATTTTTATTGGATGATAAATTTCATAATCAAGCATTGCTCCAATAATACAGTGAGCTAACCTTTCAGAATCGGAGTTATAATGACTCAAAATTTCTAGAACTCAGAAATGAGGTTAAGAGTCATAACAAATTCAGATTAAACTTCATGAAACCTTGACTTGAGCATCAGTACTCTTAAAATCTTGAAATCATTGACCTATATCAGAAGGAATATAGACATAAAAGCATCTGCAGTTGCTAAGAAACTATTAAATCCAATTTTGTTTGTCTGCTACAATAGATAGAGCATATTTATTCCAGCAAACCTATGACACTGGCTGCAAAGAAAAGAATAATATTTGGAAAATAAATTGGTTTAAAATCTCACTATCATGGACTTTCTTTCCCGAGGTTCATACTGTATTTAATTTTGTTAGCTATGCAAGTTTACAGTATTCGTTTACTAGTATTATACTGTAAGTCTTCCTTGTGATTTATTAAAGTCATGAATCTATTTGAACTGAATATGTGATGACCTGAAAGTATCTTTTCTCTTGGGCTCATTCAAACAGAACTTAGAAATGGCAGGATTTGTTTTCTGCAAGTGAAAATAGAATGATTATCATTTACTTTCTGTCTGACAGTGACTTGTCACTAGAATATGTATATCCCTCAGGAAGTCTTGTTATCTATAATTTAGCCCAATATTCAATGATTGTTGGTAACTTCAGGAAAAAAAAAAATGAGTTCGCATCTTGAAAACAACCCCAACTATCGAAACCCAGTCGGAAGTCCAGAAGATATCTTTAGATCCATCTCAAAAATAGAATCAAATACGAGTTTTATTTGAAGAGTGCTCTCTCAGTCTTTGTATTTTCCTCATTACAGAGCAAATCAAGGTCTGTGTACTGTCCATACTATTGACACATTTGGCATTAATTTAGCCAGATGTTTTCCAAAGAATGAGGCAATGAAATGCTGTTGTGGCTGTTTAGGTTCTTGTCAGAGCTCCAATTAAAAGACTAAAACAGATCTGGTTGGGTTACCAGAATGTTAGAAAATATGGCAGGTTTCCTCCTCTAAATGAATCTTAGCATTTCCTTGCATGATTATTTCCACATAAATCTTTATCCAAGTCAGGATAGCTTTGTATTTAGGGCCATAACCTTTGGCTTACTAAATGAAGCTGCCCCCACCCCCCTTAGTCTCCCTAAAGCTATCATTAAACTTCATAAGCTCATGCCCCCTCTTTTTTTAGAACAACCTCTCTGGTTTTGGGGTTTTATTATATCTCTCCTTTTTCTTTCAAAATCTGGAGAACATGGACAGTGTCTGGAGCATATTGATCCACATAGTACATTACCATGCCAGTATTCTAGAACAGTTCTGTCATAGAGTAGTGGCAACAGCAGCACCTGGAAGCTTGTAAGAAATTCAGATTCACTGGCTTCACCCCAGGGCTACAGAAACAGTCTCTCAGTGTGGAGTACGATAGTCTGAATTTAACAAGTTCTCTATGTGATTCTTAAGCACTTGACTAAAGAATGACAAGCACTACTATAGATGCTATCCCAGCTTCATTCTCACAACCCTGGAGCCTAGCTCCAGCACAGTTCTAGCACTTGTTAGAAAATGCTTACTTTAAATTGATGATAATTTTGTTTCAGAAGTTCTACATATTTTTGAAAGATTTCCTAATAGCAGAATTTCAAAGCTTTCTAACCTGAAAAATACCCCTGAAATCCAGTCATTTGGTATTTGGAGAACTATTTGCCTGTCAGATGTTATATTAAGGTCAAAACATTATGGGGAGTGGGAGGAAGGGGTGGTCAGGGAGAGTTTTATCCAAGAGTCTTATGGATTGAAAATTTTATTCAAAAATGCCCTTCAAGTAGTATGAAATTGCAGAGTATATTCAAGTTTAAAAAAATACACGAAAAGGCTCATTATACTCAACTATGAAGCCCCAGCATGACATAGTTCAAGTAGCTTCATTCCGTGGTTTCTGAATTATTTCCCTAGAGTTGTATCCTGACTTTTCTGAGGCTTCCAAAACATACCATGAATTTTAAAGGTCGTTGCCATTGTACAACACCTAGAATAGGAAAATGTTTAGAAATGTAAAAACCTCTCTTTCAATATATATATTTTCAAAACAATAATAAAATTAAGTATTCAGGGTACTATTTTAACATCCTTAATAGATCTTAAGTCAGTTTGTTACTTAGGAATATCAAAATTCTTTTGTTATAATTTGGTTTGCCTATAAATAAGTCGTATCGGGTGTTTTGAATGCTAACGGAGAATGTATTCAGATAATTATGGATTTGCATTTTTTAATGGAACAGACTGATCAATTTAATATAATTCATGAAGCACTGGCTTATGTGCAAATGGGGGTTGGGGTAGGGGAAGATACAAGACAAATGGTCCATGCCTGTTGCTAAGAACTTGTTTTCAAATTTTAAGTTTTAAACTTTTTGTTCAACTTATGTGCAAGAGGAAAATGCTTGCTAAAGATAAAGTCACCATGTTTAAATAAGGCAAGAGGGTTTTTGTTATTTTATAAATCGAGATAACTCACTCATTTCTAATAGATACAAAATATTTTAGAGAATAAATTGAGGGGAAGAAATGTCCAGAGTTAGTAAAGTACTTGAAACTGTCCAGTTGGTCAAATTTGGGAAAAACAAATTTTACTGGACAATATCTTTAAATCAGATTTTGCTCATTGTTACCTTGTAAGTGTGGAGATTCTTCCATGGTAAAAATAAGTTGTTTTCTCATTTTGCTATAAGGACAAGGAAAAAAAGGATCGTGTGATTTAGTGACTTGTCTGTCTTTATTAACAAAACCATAGAAACCAATTTCAACCATAGCCTTTCTGTCCCCTAAACTTTCCTATGAGCAATGGATCATGTGGTAATTCTGCAGTGAATATTGGGGGGAATTGCCATACTGCTTTCCACATCTGCAGCATTTTTCATCCCTGCTGACAATGCACAAGGGTTCCATTTGCTCCACTTCTTTGTCAACGCTCATTACTTTCTATTTTTCTGAGAGTCCCACCCTAATGAGAGTGAGATGGTATTTGTGGTTATTTTAACTTTTTTCTTTTTCTTTATTTTCTTCCCCCCACCCCTTAAGGTGTAGTCCCCATAGGGTTTCCTTCCCCAAGGCACCCATGCACCATCACCTCAGTCCCCTGTGCTCCTTCCTCCCTCCCTCTCTCTGATCTCTCTCCCGCCTCCTCCTCTTCACTATGTCTCTGATATATAATTGTCTGTTTTGGCTTTGTTGTGTTTTATACTGTTATTTTTTTTACACTGATGTCTTACTTGGTTCCCCTATATTCCTGCTATAAGTGAAACCATCCGATATTTTTCTTTTTCCTTCTGGCTTATTACAATTTATTTTTGATGAGTAAAAACCAAATAAATGATATGCGAACAACTTTTATTAAATGTGTTGGTCCTTGGCATTTTTATTTTCTAAGTACAGAGAGTAAAAATGTTCTGTCAAGAAAGGGGATGGAGCATGTGTATCTCCCCCAAATTTTATACATTTGTACCTACACTTGCAAGAGTAGTCCACAAAGAAGGAAAGAGATTTATCTTTACTACAATATCTCACCTTTGGCATTCAACTTGCCCCCAAGCTAATTTTTTTCTTTCTATTTTTAGTTGAACTATCATTCTTACTAAGTATAAAGTGGGCTTTTTTTAATTCCACATTTGCAAACACAGCGTCTTGTAACTGCTGTAGAAAAATCAATACTTCCCTAGCAGGCTGTTCTGTGTGCATAAATATAAATCTCCAGCAGCCTCAGTAGCAGGTGCCCTAAATACTTCAAAACAAGACCATGTGGTTAACAATTAGCAATGGGGAATGTATACTAAATCTGCAGTTTAAAAAGAAATCATTTAAATGAAGTTTATTTTGCTGTTGCCATACATAGCTCAAGATTTTGCTTTGCTGATTAGGTAGGAATTAAATTTTCTATGGTTGGAGAGTCTGTACTGGTTTGTACAGATTCTGTGTTCTCAAAGTGTGTTTTCAGCGAATAAGGCCATCCTCAGAAATTCCTGACAATGATTTAATTGTAGGTGTGGTTTTTCTACTGTTGATCAAAAGTCAGGACAGAAGGTGTAGTGTATACACCTTGTTGGGATGGTCTTGAAAGAAACCAACTGGAAATGAAATGTTTCAAGACAATCAGGGAAATTTTAATTTAGTCTGGATTTTAGATTGATTTCAGGAGTTATTGTTTGCTTTTGTTGGGTATAATGAAGCCATTGTCATTTTCTATTTATTAAATGTCCTTCCTGTCAGAGATGCTTACTGATGTATGTGCAAGAAGAATGATATAATTCCTCAGAATTGTGTTAAAATACCCTAGGGAAAAAAACTGTCAGGGTGATAGATACACAAGATAAGCAAAAACATTGCTAATGATTAAAGCTAAATACCAGGTATGTGTTAGTATTTAGTAAAATGGGATGTTAATATTCCTTGTGATTTTATGTACATTTGAGGTTTTTCATAGTAGAAGATTTTAAAAGGAGAAAATTGGGTTATAAGGTGTCTATAAATGGGAGAGCTTTTTTTTTAAAAAGAGAGTCAAAAATACTCAGGCAAATGATGGTAAATAAGAGTGTGCTAGTGATGTTTTTCATTAGAGAAGTCAAAGGATGCCAGACTCAGGGAAGATCAGAAAGGAAGATTGTATTGTAGCAGCTCTGAGTTTCATTCCATCAATGTAGGCATGGGAGAACTCTTTGGACCGCCAGGAAATTTGATTTGATTTTATAATACCTGCCTCTCCCATCCTGCTTTCCCCACACACTCCAAAAAGGTCTGCAAATTTTGGGGGTCTTATACAGTGTCAAGGCAGCAGGGAGGCCCTCAGGTTCTTAGCCATGTGCCAAGATGAACATCACCCTGCATACATGGTCTTTTTCCTCCAGGACCTTGCTGTAGTAGAGTCGCTTGGGCAAGATTTTGAGCCCCTATCTTTTCTGGGTTAGGGCCATAAAATAGGTATAAACCTGTTAATCTCAGGATTGCCTGATTTTGTCTTCCCTACACAGATCTTCTTCCCACTTTTCTCTTCCCCTGACTTTCCAGGACATTTTGAATCAGCACTGAGTAGGTTTCGGCTTTTTGCAAATGACAGTAAGAGTGATTGAGTTCAGGTGGCTTCTACTTTCTACCCAGACAAAAATAACCTAGGAAAGGAATTACAAATGGTAGCTGCCAGTTCCCTGCTTAAATGTGTATGTTGAGAAGACAGTGGAAATACAGGGGGAAGAACTATGAATTGATGTTTCTATATATTTGCCGCAAAGGCTTTGTCCATGTTGAAAGTATTTACTCTTTTAAAGGAAAATATTCAGCTTAGATTAATAAGGAAGTTTCTTTCAATGTTTAACAGGAAGGTATTTTTGTGCTGATGGGGAAATCTAAATAGTCCTTTAGGAAAATAAAATATTTCCTGAATCAAAAATAAAGGTAGGAAAGCAAAAGGAATGACAAGCCACTTTTCTTCCTCACACATAATTGGATGGATCAGTTAGCCGATGATGAGAAACAATTTTTTACTTTTGATGAAACCTGGGAGAATGAGTGATAGCAGTGATGTAAAGGGATTTTCAGACAGGCCAGGACCTTTGAATGGTGTCCTGCATCTGTCTCGCAGCATGGAGTAAAGGGACGGGGCCCGTGTTCTCACTACTGTGCATATATACCAAGGCATCTCCACTTACACAAAAACAGTCACATCACAAATTGTCACTTGAGTCTGCCCGCCTCTAATCCTGATAATGGGGCAGCGAGGGACACTACAATCCCACCCACCATTTCTTCCAAATCCTTTCATATCTCTCGCCTGTAAAAATCCCACTAAAGTCAACATAAACTTTAACCATATATTTGTACTCTGGACATATGTATGTCTGAGATCTGTGGCCACCTTAATGCCTCCTGCTACAAAGAACAAAATGGAAAAAGTGAAATTAATGTGATGTATGTAACTCTAAAAGTGGCAAGAGTTCAGAAAACTGATGTATTAATACAGTTTTGGATGACCATTTACTTTTTATTTAGACTATTATGAATAATAAACAAGAAGATACATAAAGACAGACACCTTTTTCATATAAAAAATCTTACTCAGAGATAACCCTGTAATTACCATTAGGGCATATAATCTTCTAGACTATTTAATAAAAGATGTACCTGTCTGTAATGTATTTTTTTTTAAAGATTTATTTATTTATACAAGCACTGGGTATAGTCAGAAGTGTGGGAGGGTGAGAGAATTCACCAGAGCCAGAGCAGGAAACAGAACAGGCAGACTGACGAAATACACTGCTGAGGGAAGCAGCGGGCGTGGCAGGAGAGGTCTGCGCGCCATGTGGGACCCTACCCGGCGGCCGGGGATCGAACTGACGCTGCAGAGGCTGCGGGCAGCTTTGCAGCCCAGCGCTCAACCACTGAGCCACCAGGGGAGGTCCCTGTCTGTAATGTATTATACCTTTTTCATTTAATTATATTAAAAATTCATCCGTTTATCTTTTTTGATTGCTAATATTCCATTGTGTATATAGCAACATGGACGGAGCGGAAGGGATCATGCTCAGCGAAATAAGCCAGAAAAAAAAAGAAAACTACCGCATGGTCTCATTCATAGCAGGAATTTATAAAACCTAAATAAAGGACCAGGAAAGAGACTAATTATAATAAAGTAAAAATCAAAATCAACAAGTAACTATAAACCAGAGACACACTATGGGGGGTGGGGGAAGGCGGGAGGGATTAAGGTCAAAATAAGGGGGTGGGAATTGTATGGGGAATATAATCAAGATGAAAATGCACACATTGTGCAAAAATGAAAAATGATATAAAAATATATAGAATAAAATTTAAAAATGCTAATAAACAAATTTTTAAAAAATTTAAAAAAAATCGTATGTATTATCTTTCTGTAACCTCATTATTCATGGCTGCATAATTTTAGTGTGTGAAGTATAATAACCATAATTCCCAATTTCTATAATGTTTACTTATATTATGGCTTTTTTAAAAACTTAAAAATGTAAATCTCTAGTTTTTTACTAAAAAATGATGGAGAAGTATTGACACATGGAAATGGACTATTTCTCTATCTGCTTAAGGAGATATTCTTGCTCTGGGAAACAACTATAGTTGAATATACATGTAGCCATAGTTTTAAACAAATTTTATAATCGTGATTTACATTCAGACTGAATATACTGAAACTCAATTGTTTTATCCAACTTAGGAGAACACAAGCTTCATTTCATCCCTGCCCTGATCGGCCCCTTCCTGGAAGTGACCTTGATACCCCAGCCAGATCTCCGCAATGTCATGATTCCTATTTTTCATGATATGATGGACTGGGAGCAGAGGCGGAGTGGCAACTTCAAACAGGTGGGCAGATCTGCTCCTCTGAGCTCCTCTGAGCAGCTGGAAGAGTCTCAGTTCTCCTGGAACATCTCTAGGCTCCCAGATTCAGCTTTGACTTGAGAAATGAGCACAGAACCAGCTCTCCAAGGACTGACATTCCAGCCTGGCCTGCCCACTTCCAGGGCACATAGCCTTGGACATTTGCTGATTCTGTGTTCCTCTGAGCCCCCAGGAAAGCCCTGAAAAACCATCATCCCCTTTCTAAAAACTTCCTTAAAATGCTGTGATTTCTAAGGTGTCATGTTAAGAACTGGTAGAGAGTTTATTTGCTTCCAGTGGGACACAATACAGAGGAATCACAGGGTTAATAATTCTCGCTCATTGAGCTCTCAGTGCTGGGCATATTGTATTTGGTAAATGGCTTAGCTTTGACATTTGATTTGCAATATGTTTTATGCCTCTTTGCTTGAAGCATTGAGAATTAATTTAAAGGGGAAAGCAGTGGAAATTCTTACAAAGGAAATTCCAAGGAGATGAGCCTATCATTCCTCACTGACATCAGTTCTAATAGCTCTGCCCCACTCCTGGAAAGACAGATGTTCTTATTATAAAACCAGATCTCATAAGAAATCAGCTGCTTTTGCCATGTCAAGTCACTCAGGTAGGAAATGTAGATGTTCTGTGTGTCCACACAGTCTCTGTACTAATCTGCATGAAGAATTTGACCTTCCTTCCTGCTTCTCTAAAACAAGCCACTCTCAAATCTTAGGAATGGTTATCAACTGTACTAGCAAATGGAATGCATCCATAGAACCCTCCTGTCCTAAAAGCATGACATGTTACCTGTGCTACTATCTACATTAATTTTCAAGAAAGCTAACAGTGAATGAAAGGCAGTTTTTAAATTGTATTGGTCTTTATTCTTTTATTAATATTTAACTCAAAGGGATATATAGGCTTACTCCTTGGGCAACAGCAAATATTCCTCCCAATCCCTACTTGTTCAACTCTCTGGACATGGAAGGGTTTTTTTACTTTCTGTCATTTCTGCTGCCTCAGCTAGATGAAGGGATTCCTGCCTTCCTTATATTCAAGTCCTAAAGGATTTACATTCTTAAAAGTATAAATGTTTTGACTAGAGTTTTCAGGAAACATGTCCTTTCTCATGCTGCTTATTGCTGACTTAGACTATTTCTATGGATTTACCATCTGTACATGGATAGGACAAGTTCTCAACTTCAGCAAAGATTTAGTGCAACCTCAAACTGTTGTCAGAAAAAATAGATTTTAAACACATCAAAGATTTAAAGTAACGTTTGTGGATATGTTAGTTTACTGATATTATTATATATATACATACATACAGACATCTATATACACATATATGTGTGTGTGTCTGTATATATATATCACACACACAGTGATTTAAAAAAAAAATTAGGCTTTCCAATTTTTACAGCTCCTGAAAAAGAATCCAAACAGTCAAGCTGAGCTGCAAACATTTGTGTTTGAATCAACAAATAGATAGTTGTCTTTGGCAGCAGCAAATGCTACCTTGCCAGGAGTTTGAAGTTACATTGCTCCATCTAAATAATCTTCTATAATTCCAAGGGGGGGTGTCTGTGGTTAACCACAGCAGATAATGTCACTTTCTCATAACTAACTGTGGCTTTTTCCCTTGCAGATATAAATATTTCATTTGCTTAGAAATCCTACAAGCGAAGGGAGGGAAAGAGAGTAATATTTGGCTATGTTTCAGGTGGAAGCCAAGCTAATTGACAAACTGGATAGTCTGATGTCAGAAGGCAAAGGTGATGAAACATACCGTGAACTCTTCAACAGTATGTGAGTAATATGTTTATCTCAAGTTGATTCTATTCAGGGGATTTGGTGTCAGTGCTAAGCAGCTGAGAACTACAACTGATAGCTTGGGTCTCACAGCAGTGCTTTGTCTTTGTGGAGTGTGAAATAAAGGATAATTGCCTAAATCTGGTGAATGGATCATATTATGTTAATAATTAGACATGTCTCCTTTTAATCTCAGATTAGGACAGGTCTCATGTGTTTCATAACAAATCTCACTCTTTTATGCCTAATCATTTTAAAACCTTGCCTGCAAGATGATGATTTTAAGTAGGTTAAGAGTGGGGAAAGGAAAAGTGATGGTGTGGTTGCATGTTTATATGCAGTATTTTCCAAAAGCAAGATAACCTTGGCTTATTTTCTGTTGGAAAAAATAAGCTAGTTTGCATCTGTTCTTCAATACTTGATTTAATTCATAGATACCCATTGCTCACTCAACATTATTAATTGCTTCCTAAATGTTTCTTATCAGAATAGCACAGAAGCAAATCACTTTTAGTAAATTCTGTAGTTAGGATTTGTAAGGAGAATAGAGAAATAATGGAATGTTGTAAGGGACCTTGAGATTGTCCCCACCAATAGAATATGAGCACAGTCACAGGACCAGTTGCTTATACCAAGTATTCATTCACTGTGTGAAATAGCCAGAAAGGACAATAAGAATGGTTTAGTGCAGTTTCCACACTTGTATTCTCTGTGACTGTCATAGATCTTGGTCATTTTCAAACACAGAATACTTATAAATGTTTCTTCTTGAAGGAATAGCTAGCTCATTGTGCTTGGAAAATGCAAATATTTCTTAAGTGCAAAAACAGGTTAGCAATAAATTTGTCTGACAAAATGTACTTGTATATGCCTGAGTATCACCTAAAACTTAAAAAATGCTTCCATGCTGATTGCAAATGCAAAATTCTCTAATTCATTTTATGATCTTAGCGCCTATAGGTCTAAAAAGTATTAGTGACTGATATATCTCAACTTGCCTGATTCAAAATCATCCTTAGAACTTTCAAGAAAATTATATTAAATGGAAAAGTCAAGAAAGGGTATACAGATTTCATGTGGTGGGGGTGGATGATAAAACACATTCTTTGTACTAATCCTGAACACCACCGTTTTCTTCTGTTACCATAATTAAACTGGAACTTTTAATAATTATTCACCAAGCTTTCATTCATTCTAACATACAAAGTGTCTGTCTTTCATGACAGCTGGAGTTTAGCAAGAGTTCTGATTAAAACCTCATCCAATATAATGAATTGCATTTGAAAACTGCTCTCATTTCAGTTACTGGTCTTTGGTTTGAACAAAGAACTAAAATGAGAAGGCACTCAGTGAAATGAATCTCTTGAGATTTGTGATTAATTATTTATAATAAATTCAAAAGATTAATAAATACATATTTCTATAGTGCCTCTTATCTGCCTTTATAAAGGCTTCATAGCATGCAAGTTGGATTGCTTGTGTATAAATATGACTTTGAAATAGAAGATGTACCTTCACATTAGACTCAAACCAATAATTAAAACATTAAGTCACTATAATTAGTACTATTTTAAGTTTCCTGATTCATTTACTGGAGATATTTTTAGTTTTCTGTTGATTTTTAATATATTACTAGAAAAGTTACTATAAATATTTTTCTTCCATGCTTTTATGATCAGCATAATGGGAATAAATCAAATCTAAAGAGACAATATCATGACTACCAGGACTCAACCAGGACTGAAAAAAGAAAGTGAAAACCTAACTGTATTTCAGGAAACAATAAAATGCTTTTTTGGCAAGAGTAATGACAATGAATTAGTATAATCAAATAGAGTCACTGCACACATTATGATTAGGAACGCATACCGTTATGGTGCAGATTCTCATTTGTTCTCTGTAATTCATGCCTAAAACTTCACAAAATTTGCTCAGAAGCTGGAAGTAGCTGACTGCATCCTGATAATGTTGTACTTGCCAAAATAGCCTCCTCAAAATGATACTTTAAATTTTTATAATACCTTTCTTCCTAAGAACTCAACTCCTCTTTCCCTAGCCCCTGATATTATCATCATTTACTGTGTCTTTTTTAAATAAGTGGAAGTCAGGACTTATTTTTGATGGTGCTAAATTGTGAATTGTGGATGCCAACATAATATATAACCAAAACAGAGTATCTGAACTGAGTTCTGCTTCCTCCTGCTCCACTTGATTCACTCATTTGGTTTTATTTTTAGAGCATCTCTCTGTAACAGCATTCTTCTAGGACTGGGGATACCGCAGTGAGTGTAGGAGCACACAGTAGGGCTCTTCAGTCTTGGGGGAGGACATGATCTATCACGGTTCTTTCCCTAGACCTTTATTCTGCTTTCTTACACATGGCTCTAAACAACTAAGCTTCCAAATCATTTCAGAGATCTTCATTTCGTGATCACACATTTAATTATAGTTTTGAAACAGGATTAGCTATGTTGCATGCACATGTAGGTATCTAACGCTTCCCTTTGGATTAGGGAGAGCATGTACAGACACAGGTGGTTTATATAAGAGTGATGGCTTCTACACAATCCTGTTATGACACAGTGAAAGGTAGATTGAAGGACAACTCTATCTGCCCTCCCATAACCTACCATATAGTAAAAGCCTGGTGAGCAAAATATCATCTTGGAGAACTGTAGTTTATTCCGATCCCCAATGTTATGGAGGTCCATTGCTCAGTTAGTCACCTTTCACTTTATTAGATGAGTTCTCTCTGTACTCAGCATAGCATGTGTGTCTGATTTTAGACAAAATTAAAAGACCCAATCACCCAAGTTACCTAGATAGACTGTTCCCTTTCTGCTGATGGCCTCCCCTTCTCTGTTTACATCGGGTAAACTGAGAGGAAAGACTTTCTGGGAAAGAACAAGCCTGGCTGAGAAAACAGATCTATTGGTTCTAGACTTAGTCTTAACATGTGGGTCTTGAGTTAGTCAAGAAAACAGCTTCTGCAAAGCTCTGCCTCTTTTCACAAGAGGATTATGTAGCTCTGATTTCTTACTGCAGGAGGAGGCCGTGCAAATTAATGAAACTCATGCCCAGAAAAGAAGTCTCCATATATTTTTAGAATTATTACTTAACTTGAGTTCTTTGTTTTTCAGCCTCTAAAGTATATGAGGTGTGGGCTGTCACTTGGGAAATTTTCTACTTCATCTTGTATTGCTTTGGCAGGCAGATTTTCATTTGAGTGTTTGGTTCAATACCAATTTGGCATTTAAGTTGGAAACAGGTGCTATTCAGAAGTTTTAAAAAAGAAAACACATTTTAAACAAAGTAGGGGACATTTCCCCAGGGGGATTTGTCATGGCAAGCTCCTCCATCCCTTCATATACTACTTCTCTGCCTCTTAATCTAGGAAACAGTTCAAAATAAACCAGGAAAACAGATGATCAGCCAACAGATGAGGAGACAGATAAAAGGTGGGGTGCTGGAATGGCAAAAACAGGAGTTGGGGAGTGAGTAGGAAAATTAGGAGAGAATGTAGCCACAGACAAAAAAAAAAAACAACTGACAAAATAGTTTTTTTCTTTAACATTAATTTTTCCATGATACATGATACACTTAGGTTATACTTGTAAAAAATATCTTCTATTATTCCTAAATCAAGATGAAAGTGAAACAAATTTTCGACAGAAATGATAATCATTAAATTCAATGTTTATATTCTTTTATCTTAAGTAGAAAGTTTAAACATAAAGGCTTTGCCAAGTATATGATGCATTTGCCGAGAGTGAAAGTAAAACATCTTAATTATTATGATCGTTATTATTTTGTGTTTACATAGTGCCTCTGCTCCAAGGTGCTTAAGATAAGAGAAAATGTAGGAGGAGAGATGTGGTTTGGTACTTGTCATCAATCTGCTCTAACAACCACATAGAAAATCCTCTGTGATTAATGACAAAATGAATGAAACTGTTGAGTGAGTGCACAGATAGTACAATATGTATTGAGTGGGCAAATGTTAAGTGAAAGGAAAAAACGCAAAACGTCACACCGTCTGTACAAGGATTTTCCTGTAGCAGTGGCATTGCAGTAAAATTGCTTGGATGAAGATGCATTCCAGTGAGAGGTAGGAAAACATTTTTCTGTGAATACAGCAAGATCTTACTTAAAAGTAAACTTAGAGGTGCTCCTGTTTTTGCTTTCGCAGAGTTATCTGATGTGTAAGGCAAGTCTCTCGGTATAAGAGAGAAGCTAGGAAGAAAGATCTTTGAGCTGTAAGGTGCCTGTGTGTTTTGAAAATATGATTATGTGCATGTGTTCGTATTTTATGACTTGGATAATCTGAAAATCAATTTGCTTTGTCAATGCTTCCTGGATTAGAATTCCACTATTTGGTCCCTATCCTAGGTAAGATATTGTTTGCAAATTGTGCTACTTGTGAGATGTTGCAGTTGTTGCTAAGGCATTTAAGGTACTGATGAAAGTAAAATGGTTGTCATAGTGACTGATAAAAATAAATGTTAAAAATGCCCTGGGTTCTTTCTTTTCCAGTCTACTAAAGAAAATTGAGCGGGAAACATGGAGGGAAAGTGGCGTTTCATTAATTGCCACTGTGACTCGTCTAATGGAGCGGTTGTTAGATTACAGGTAAGCTGAGTCCCCCGTTTTTCAGATGTGCTGGGCTTCAGTTCGAAAATCCAAGAGCTGAAGTATGATAAACATCCCACTTGGGTTCATTACTTAAAGAATTGATAATCAGACCAAGGAACTTTGTGCTAGCCAGCTCAGAACTGATATTTGATATTGTTATTTCTCCCTTGCCTCCACCCCATTTCTGTTTTGTTTTGTCTTTTGACAGTCCTTTCAAAGTCTTAGTGAATGGAGGGGATGGTCAGAGTCCTGTTATTAAAGGAACTTTTTTTGCTATCTAGACTTGCCCATTAAAACCAGTAAATCCATTCATTTTAGGGCGAAAATGATGTAACAGAATTGTACAGGTGTACTGCTTTCTTATAAAAGGGGAAAGAGAATGCAACTCATTGTCACTATCTTTCAGAGACATAATTTTTTGATTCATAAGTTATCTGAACTGTTAAAGCAGTTTGTCCCACTTAACTGCATGGGGGTTTTGTTTTCAGAATGAAACCCTCACCCTCCTTGCTGATGGCAAGGCTTGCCAGCTGCTCCCAGCCCACTGGAGGAGGTGCATAACAACACACTTGCTTTCCTTCTCCCTGTACCCCATCTATTGACAGTCAACCTGCAATTGAAATTCTCAGCAGAAACTGGTGATCAGGAATATCTGACCCCAACCTCATTAGAGAACACACAACCTGGGGTTTAAGTTTCTCTAGCGAACAGAGTCTATCTGATAACAACTAGCAAACTGCCTGTTTCTGACACTACTTAATTTTTTTTCCCTAAAAGAACAAGCTGTATTTACCTCTAGGAAGGAAGCTCTGAGTCTGACTATTGCTTTTTATTTTTAGGGACTGCATGAAAATGGGAGAGGTAGATGGCAAAAAGATTGGCTGCACAGTTAGTCTCCTGGTTAGTAAACTGTTTCCCTTTTCCTCTTTATATCTTAATGTTTGTTTTTCACAGAAATACTAGTTTTATGTGTTTTTACTCCATATTGTCTTTTTTATCTAGATGTTTCTTAGAAATAATCAGAAATGGTTCTAAAAGGAGCATAGCAAGCTTCAGGTTGAATTAAATGCCAGAAAATTGTTTCAAGGTATTACCTCTAGAGTCTTCTTGTTCTCATAGGGAAAAGCACAATGTCTCCAGACAGATATCTTTTTTTACTTCTGTGTAGATAGTTTCTTCTCATTCCCCTTATTTTCCTTCTACATTTCAGTAAATATTATTGTTCTTTTGTGAACAAATGCCAATTTCTTGTTTAACACATTAATTTTCACTGTCTTCTTTGCAAATTAAATCTATAACTCCACTATTGTTAAGGTTTGGGTTATATCTAGGTTGACCATAGCATTTATCATCCAAACTTGATGTTGAGAGTAAATTCAAATATTAGGTAGGGATAACAGGCTAAACCAGAACTGTCCTGGGAAAACTAAAACTTGTATTAAAATGTCACATAACTGTTAAAGAGAATGGTATTTGCACCAAGGGGAAAAATAATCATAACTTTGACCATTCTTTTCATATTTTCATACAGAGTGAAGTGAGCCTTTGGTAATTGTCCTTAATCAAAATTGAAATACAGGATTTTGAGACTGCTTCCCTTTCTAAATTTGTGACCACCACGGTTTCTTTTTCTTACTGTGCAAAATAGAACTTCACCATGTATTTGAAGTACTTATAAGTCTGTTTACTTTTTCTAGGAAAAAGAAAAATACCTACCACCATCCCGTGCACCTCCTTCACCCTTTCCCCTACTCCCACTTTTTCACCTCTGTTCACCTCAGTTTGGTTAACAGTTTATTTTTATTTTGCTTTGTCATTTCAGCTTGTTTCCTTATATTCCCCATATATGTGAAACATCCAATATTTGTCTCTCTTTTTTAAAAAAAAAAAAAAGATTTATTTATGCATGCAAGAGCTGGGGTACAGGCCAGAGACATGGGGGGTGAGAGGATTCACCAGAGACAGAGTGGGGAGCAGAACAGGCAGAACGTCTGAAACACACTGCTGAGGGGAGCACCGGGCGAGTCAGGAGAGGTCTGCTGTACCATGTGGGTTGCTCCCTGGTGGGCCGGGGATCGAACTCGTGCTGCAGAGGCTTCGGATTGCTTCATAATGTGGTGCTTAACCCCATGCACCACCAGGGAGGCCCTCTCTGTCTTTCTAACTCTGTGTAATCCTTTCAAGTTGCTTTCATTTTATGGCAAATGAGAGAATTGCATCTTTCCTTCTAGCTGAATACTATCCCTTGTTTGTACCTGCTACATCTTCTCCATCTAGTCACCTGTCCATGACATGTTGTCAACACACATTCGTGTCTTACTCTGATCATTTGCATCTATCACATGCTACCTTATTCTGTTTGCCACCACCTTGAAATTTTGTTTTGTCCACTCAGATTACATCTCGTCTTATTTTGTTTTATTTATTCCCCTTGCAGCCCCTCTTCAAAGTTCAAGACTTTTGCTTTCTTATGACTGTCTTTTTCCAGTTTCCCTAATAGTTTTCCTACTTCCCTGTTCTTCTCTGAGTATATGACTATATCCTTTGCCACACCCACCACTTCCTCCTCATTTTTAATTTAATTGTTCACCTCCACCTCCAATATCAGTTGATAAAAATAGTGAGATTTGAGCATCTTCTGTTAAGCTACATCTTGATTTTTGCACTTTCTTCCATAATTTTTGTCATCAGACCTGACAGTAACCTCCAGACCATGAGTCTGAACTCACCAGGTTGGCCCATCTCCCTCTTTTCTTACACTCATTTCTAACCTTGCTCATAGTCAGCCATTCCCGTTAAATTTCCTGTCTTCAGTTCCCCAGTTTTTGGCCAGCTGCTTCTTTCAGCCTGAGCTGCTTCCACATCCCGGCTTGTACATCAGTATTCAGTGGGGGAAACCACATGTCTTTATGCTTCAGTTCTGCTCAGTTTATTTCTTTAATCCTTGCCCTACCCCAACTCCAGGCACAAAGTCTTATAAGTTATATCAAAGGAAAGCTATTATCTTAAAAAAAAAATCTTCATTCCTTGTCTCCATCACCTTTCATGGTGCCTTCTGTGTCAAGGTAAACAAATAAATGTAGATCCTAAGTTCTTGTCCTTGACTGATAGAACAGGAGAGATCATTTCCTCACATGAAGGAATTAATCCTCTGCCCTAAATGTGTTTACTCAGTCTCCCAGTAGGAATAAGCCAGAGACTAAATAAAATAAAATCTGTGACCCCATCGGTATTCACTTGAGACAAAGAATTTATCCTCCTGCCTTTACACTGACCAAGAATAGTCCATACAGAAAATATTAACCTTGTGAAAGCTCTTCTAATTCAAACTGCGACCAGAATACTTACTATTGAGGACCAAATATATAATTTTGATGTTAACCTTTTTGTTTCTACTCCAAATGGAAAGTTCTTGATGTTTTCTAGCAGTTATATGGATCTGTTCAATTATTCTCTTCTTCTTAGAGTTTTTTTTAATTTTTTCAAAAGATCAATTTCAGATTGTCTTCCGGGGAGCTCTGACTTCTTTTACAAGATCAGTGTTAAACAGCAGTGTTAAGTTGGTAAAAATGCAAACCTTTGACATGACTAATATTAAGAAATGGAATTATTGTTTTGTTCTTTGTGTCATAAGTTTTGCCAGACATAGGTGAAAGGTTCTCATCTTCTCACTGGAGAAATCTTTTTTTTTTTTTTTATTAAGAACTATTCATTTACAGGATGATTGCTTATTTTGTTCTCACAGAAAGCTGATTTTTACCAGATAGCTATTAGAGCAAATCATCCTTTAATATTGTAAAAACCTGCTGTGGGATTGTTAGACTTGTGTTTATGGTACAACAATTCTTGCTAATTAAAATGATTTTGGTTGTCATAAGAGAGAAGTGAATAACATTATTTACTTAGCTTTTTAAAGAATGCCAAGATCTACAGGAGACAAAAGGAAAAAGGGAAGAGTAATGGTGGAAACTGGAAAAAATTACTCTTTGTGATGCATTCAACTAAATGTCCATGTTGCAAGGCTAGAAGGGTCCTCATATTGAAGACGGGACACCTATTCAGTAGTGGGCAGAAGACGTATTTGCCAGGTCCTCTGGTTTCAAACTCAAGTCAAATTCAAGAATCTACATTGTATAAAAATGAAAAATGATGTAAAAATATAAAAAATAATAAATAAATAAATAAAGAATCCACATTAGCTAGCATTAGTTTATTACTGAAGCTCTCTCTACCTAAATCCGCTTTGGAAATTTTTTAAATTCCTGGCCTTTCCTACCACTTCTGTCACTCCTCCAGGTCAGCAGATTTATCCCCACCCCCACCCCCCCCATTCATTTTTCCTTCCTCCACATACCAAGTATCTTCAGTCGAAACTACAATAGCAATAGTGATGGCAGTTCAGGTGGCTTAAGGGGAGGTATCATAATAAACAGCAATCTCTCCTCGCTAAAATTGCCTCTTTCAGAGTCTCACACAAGTGTGCTTTGGCTAGAATCCAACTTTATTTACATTTCTCCTATGTTTACTAATTTCCTTGAGGACTAAAATACTGTTTAATGTGACAAAGGAGTACCTGTGGATGCTTACAAACATACCTTTAAAATGCCAAGATAATATGTCCAGGTAACTCAAAATTGAATTTTTGATAACTAGTGATTAAAAGAGAAATTTGGTGAGATCCAGACACTTTGTTTTATAATCCTATAAAATATTTGCAATAAGCATGCCCCTGTAATAATAATTTGAAGTAAAATCTTGTTACCAATTCCTTCATATTTTGGATATACTGAAAACATCTAAATTCCAACAAAAGAAAGTCAGAGTAATGCCTTAACCATAAAGAGCTTTGTATTGTACAATGTTCATCCTCACCAACATATCTTGGAGACATTTTTTTTTTTGCTTGAGCAACCTATGCTTGGAATTTGAAATTAGAGAAAGTATCCTGAATATCTATGACAAAATTTGATAAACAGATTAACCTGTTCTATGTTTTAAATATTGTAGTTAAATAGGCTGATTGTCCTTTGAAAGTAAAAGTAAAAAAAAAAAAAATGGAGAGTAACAAAAGCATTGTGTATCAGTGGTAGCAACACCCCCCAAGGGTTGCCAGCTTATCCAAAAACTCTTAGGTAATGTCTAAAGCAGTGTTGAGTGAAAAATATGTAACTAGGTCTCTTCATTTAAAAAAAAAAAAAACTTTTGGGCCTCCCTGGTGGCGCAGCGGTTGAGCGCTGGGTTGCGAAGCTGCCCGCAGCCTCTGCAGCGCCGGTTCAATCCCCGGCTGCTCCCCGGCCACTGGAGGAGGGTCCCACATGGCGCGCAGACCTCTCCTGCCGCCCGCTGCTCCCCTCAGCAGTGTACTTCGGTCCTTCTGCCTGCTCTGCTCCCCGCTCTGGCTCTGGTGAATTCTCTCACCCTCCCGCGCTTCTGACTGTACCCAGTGCTTGTATAAATAAATAAATAAATATTTAAAAAAAAAAAAATAAAATAAAAAAAAAAAACTTTTGCGTGAAAAATGTAGTCTTTATCAGTTTAACAAACATAAATTTCATATGAAAATATCTAGTTCTCTTGGCTCCAGGCATGAAACGTCAGCAGAGTAAAAGGGAGATTCTGTGGCCATGGCTGTTGAGGAACTGTCCACGCTTGTACTCTTTTTTTGCAGAACTTCTATAAGACTGAGCTGAACAAGGAAGAGATGTACATACGCTATATCCACAAACTATATGACCTGCATCTCAAGGCTCAGAACTTCACAGGTAACTCTGGCTTTGGGGGCAAATGGGCTGGACACTGGTGTATTAAGCATGATAACTCCTCTGCTTTTTATCATCAGAACTGAGGACCAAACATTTCAACTTTAAAATTGAAATTTACTCTTACTGGAATTTTTTTCTAAGTACTAAATTTTAATTTGCACGTTGGATTTTTTACTCTAAACTATTGTATTTACTATATCTACACAATATTTTGCATAGAGGTTTTTAGAGCTTGCTTTTACAAAAACACACCTAACTTATCACAGTGCACTTAGGGTTAGTATTTGGCCACTCCAACCTAAATAAATGAACTTTACAACCAAGTGTTTCATTTTACATGCCTCACTTTCTCATTTTTATTACATCTATAAATGTTGAAATTCTCATGGAACAATGTCATAAGTTTTGCCTTCAATGGACATACTTATTGATATTTTTAAAAACTTAAAAGGAGAAAAGTATTATATTTGCTTATATATTATTTTCTATTCATTTCTATATTCATTTCTGTTACTATTTCTTCACTTGAGAATTTGTAAACTTCCCTCTACCATTTTGATTCAACCTAAAAAACTTGTTTTAGTATATTTTAAGATACATATATTTTTTAATATTGTTTTCTGATATCATTTAACAATGATATCATTTAACAATGATTTGTGGACAGCATTTTGGGTTATTTTTTATTTAAAGCAGATCTAGTGGGGAAGAATTCTCTTCATTTTCCTTCATCTAAGAACGTATTTATTTTACTGTCATTCCTGAAGGAAAAGTTGATAGATATAGCATTCTAGATTCCATAGCTATCTAGATTCCATAGTTCTTTTGTTTCAGTATTTTGAAATTGTTTTCTACAACCTTCTGGACTCCATGGTTTCAGATGAGAGAGCTACAGTCATTTAAATTGTTGCTTTCAAGGTTTTACCTTTAATTTTCAGTGACTTGATGGTATATATGGATATGGTTTCTTTAAGTTTATTCTGTTTGGGTTTGCCGAGTTCCTTAAATTTATAAACTTTTTCCTTCACCAAATTTGGGAAGTTTTCAGGCATTGTCTCTACAAACATGTTTTCTGTACCACCAGTCATAATTGAGTTAACACCTCTCCCATTCCACCTCATCCTACCACTTACACTGCTTTCCTGCTTTTCTGCCTTAGAGGTTAATTGTTTTATCTTTTTTTTTAAGATTTATTTATTTATACAAGAACTGAGGTACAGTCAGAGGCATGGGAAGGTGAGAATTCACCAGAGACAGAGTGGGGAGCATAACAGGCAGAAGGACCAAAGACACCACTGAGGGGAGCAGCGGGCAGCAGGAGGGGTCTGCCGAACCATGTGGGTTGCTCCCTGGCCAGCCAGGAATTGAACCCGCGCTGCAGAGGCTGCGGACAGCTTCACAGCCTGGCGCTCAATCCGCTGCACCCCTGAGGAGGCCCTAATTGCTTTATCTTTTCTATGAAATCTTCACCTTCATGGAATTCTCTTCTTTCTCTTTCCTTCACCAGCTCCATGACCTCATTACCACAGTCCCATGGGCTGTATTGATGTTTCCAAATTTTTCCCCATTGCAATTTTTCAGATTTCCATTAAAGCACTTACCATACTCTTTTAATTTACAGTTATAGATGGTGTGTGTGTGTGTGTGTGTGTGTGTGTGTGTGTGTAGATAGGTCAGTAGACAGACATCCAAATAGAAAATTTCTAGTTAAAGGTGAATCCCTGAATACAGAGATGATTTTTTTAATTCTTCTAAGTTCTTAGAATAATGCTTAGCAATCAATGTAAGATTTAAATGTGTCTCTAATGAATGCACTCAATTAAATTTTAACACCTGGAGAGCACATTTTTCTCCTTCAATATTGATAATTCCTTAATCATTAAGGAAGCTTTGGTACCTCTTCATACAGATGTGCTGATAGATTTGATATAATGAGTAAGATTGTTGAATTTACTGTGTGACCTGAGCATTTAAATGGTCATTTTAGCATACTTAGTAGCCAAATCTTGAGTGAAATGATGAACCTAGTTTTTGTATCTGTGGAAACAACCTAGTAGATCTTTTTAAGGTCCATATAAAAAAAAAAAATGAGAGACAGAACTGAGGATGAGTTCTTCAGATAGCTCAGAGATATTTTGGTTCTCTGAAAAAAGTCCAAATCTGTCTGATTATATTTTAGAAATGGGTAAATCTATTTTTTTTATTTCTTTACTCAACTTGCAGTTTTATGTTCCCCAAAGTTATAAGAAAGAAGTCCTTTGCCAATATAATATCTTAGTCATCTCTCTTCTGTCTTCATCTTTGTGTATCCTTGGAGAAAGTAGAACTGATGGAAAACTTTTCTCTCTATAGGGTTCTGTTCAAATGGCTTAACCTTTACAGTCTTTGTGGCAGTGCCACCCATTCCTAATTCATCTCCACTCACGCTTTCTTTTTTTCATATTGTTGTCTTCACTGTACACTTCTTAAAATGATGAAATGAGATGGCCCACATTTAATTATTTGGTGATGTCTTTTGTTCAGAATTATAAACACTTTTTAAAAGATACTTGGAAATGTTGTAATTCATTCATCCCTCTTCAATAATTAAAATTATCTTCTAAAGATACAAAAGAACAAATATATAATATGTTGCAATAAAACATCTAAAATTTGCTGTTGCATACAAAATCACAGTAGTCGACTGTGTTGTTCATACCCCAAAGGAAGGTCTATGCATTTTTTTAATCAAAATTTCCTAGAGTATCATTTACACACACCCTTTACCTCAGATATACACCATCATTTTCCCCAAGCAAATTCTAAAACAGGTGTACTTTGTCCACCCCTTCCCATGTCACCATTCAGTCATTTGTCAGCTTTTTCTAATGGTCTTCCTGTACCTACTTGTTTTCTCTCAATTTTCCAGAGCAATTCACCCACATCTGACCCTCCAGCTAACCTCTGGACCTTCCCAGAACAAGCATGATTTAGAAAGCAGTTTGGAAACTTGAAACCTTTCATTGCCCTCCAATTAAAAAATGTTATTGTAGCAAAGTATATATAATTTACCATCTGACCATTTTGTAGTGTGTAGGTCAGTGGCATGAAGCATGGCCCCAGTCCTGGAAGGCCACCACCACCATCCATTTCCAGAACTTTTCCCAGACTGAAACTCTAACTCACTTAAACAACAGCTTCCCCTTATCTTCCTCCCATGTCCTGACAACCGCCATTCTACTTTCTGTTTCTTTAACTTGACCTTCAGCATCCTTTAAGTCACTCCTGTGGGAGCTTCAGTCTTCAGTGATGGCAGTAGCTTCCCTCTTACCTCCCCATCCTTATCATGTTAAATGCTGAGGTAGTCTCAAGGATATTTTTGAGTGCTCAGATGTTATGGGAGATGCAAAAGAAAACTAAGAGACCAAGGTGACAATTCCTGAGTAGTCATCAAGAGAAAGTAGGAGTTATTCTGCAGCGAAGTGGAAAAGGCTTGAGGCAACAGGGTGTGAACACCACCAGTGTGTGAGGAGAACCGCATTTGTTCAGATGGCGAGAGCTGAGTGTGGACAGAGGAACAGGCAGGCAGGGGGTTTTCTTAGATACTTGGCAGTTATTTTAAGGATATGTGGGAAATTAAAAGATCAGGAAATCATCTCAGGAAGTCTCAGTGAAAACTTGAAGACTATTCAAAATACAGCACAGATCTGATAATCTAGTTAACATTATCATCTCGTCCTATCAAAAGCAGTTTTCCATAGCAACCTACAGGGTGGTGATTCAGCTCAGTTTCTGTATCCACCAGCTAATCAACTCTCTGTCCATCTTATATTCAATCTCCACAAGGAAAAGGGTTGGTCACAGCCCTTGCAGCAAGGTGCCTCCACAACCCCTCTTCCTTGTACCTGTTTGCCCCTAGATCAGGATGCATTTTGTTTCATTCATCAAAGACTGATGATGGGGTCAAAAGGCTCCAACTATGGGTGCTGGAGCCTTTTTGGACAGACACTGGTGAGCTCCTTCTTAGCTGTGGAAGGACAATGAGAGACTGATAGGACTGTGAGTGAGAGACTGATAGGAACCAGATCCTGGGCAACTGTCTTTGTCACTTTAGGAAGCCTGAGTTTCTTCTGTTAGCTACTGAGAGTCATGGCTGGTTTTAATCAGGGGGAAAACATGATCAGTGCACAAACTGAATGAAGAGGGATTAGAGACCAGCTGGTGGGTTAGGAAAAGCTTTTGTAGCTGTTGTTGAAACCAGGAGACTGAGCTCACCACAGGTAATTGAAAAGAAGGAAGGTCAGGACCTATACCTCATCAGACTTCTATCATTAAGAGGCAAGAAAAAAGTTAATAGGGGCTCAGACCTTTCTTATTACAACTGTATTTTACACATTGAGATGGCTGAGTACTGGGACAGAGTACTACTTGGGAGCTTTATGTGTGGTTTCCCTTAAGGCAAATAAATGAAGGAAAAGAATTCCACTTGTTGATAATTATGTTAGAAGCTGCTATTATGTTTTTTGATATGCATATACAATTGTTAAATAGATTCATAACACAAGGCTTTGTCCATCTTATTCAAGTTTGTAAATGAATTGGTTATTATGATTAGAGAGGAAATTAGGACAGTCCTTCATCAATGACTCTGAATTCTGATCCCTATTCTTAATCAGTCTGACCATATTTATGGTTCATATAAAGAGGAAGCCTGCCAAATGGCAAGTATTAACTACACTACATGTCCATCAACTGTCCTTAAGGTACAGGTCACCATTCTGTACACACCATGTGTGTACAGAATCACCCCTTTATTATGTTCCCCCAAGAAATTCCAATTGCATCAAATGTGTAATGACTTCAGAGGCTGTTATTGAAGATGTTGAGAGACAACTGGGCGGAGAGGGCGGGAGGTTCAGATCACACAGCACACCCGTCTCAATCATTGCCTTTCCACTGGACTTTCAGAGGCTGCGTATACCCTCCTGTTATATGATGAGCTGCTAGAATGGTCTGACCGGCCCCTCCGCGAGTTCCTGACCTACCCCATGCAGACAGAATGGCAGCGCAAGGAGCACCTGCACCTTGCCATCATCCAGAACTTTGACCGAGGCAAAGTAAGTCAGCAGTAGTCTTTCCCAGGTGATCCCCTAGGTGTTACATTTCCATTTATTTATTTTTTCCTAGTTAATTGATGTCCACCTCTTCAAACAGGAGACCTCAGACTTCAATACTAATTAAAAACACCCAAGATGTGCAGTGCAGCTTCCAAGGCCCTGCTTCTAGACATTCTAAATAAGTAGATCTGGCCTGAAGGCTTCTGTGATTCCAATGAGGACTCCAGAACATTCTAATGTGTATGAACCTTGGATCACACTTTGAGAAACACTGATCTAGAAGATTTGACATCCAGGTGTTTTATTCTCAGAAAAAAACATTATCAATACTTAATCACCTCCCCAGATTCACATGCATTCTGCTCCATTCTACTTTCTTATAAGGCAAAAATAAATGTGACTGAATTTTCTTAGAGAATTGCACACCTGAAACTTATATAATGTTGTAATGCAATGTTCAATTTTTTTAAATAATAAAATTTACAAGAATTTTATGGCATCTCATCATATACTTAGAGATGCTATGAGGTTCCAAAAAGAGTGAACTAATAATTTAGTTGATCTGAACACTTGCATGCTTTGGTGATGTGTCTTAGATTTAAATATACCTTCCAAATTGCCAAGGTCAAGTGGAAAATTATAAGACAACCATTGGCTGTCATTCTTCTACAAACTATAATGGCTGCATCTAAAAATCTGATAAAAGGAAATTGCTTCTTTCCTACCCTCCTTTATTATTTATCTAACTACACTGACATCATTGCATTCATAGCAAGAAAATGCTTTTGGGTCCTCCTGCTATAAAGTTTCCACCGTTGAATATGCTACTGAAAATATCTGGCTGCATATATTGGCCCATTCGCAGAAGTTTGTGCCAGATTGTCGGTTGCACACTATAGCTTGTAGGTCAAATGACTCACTGCCTGTTTCTGTGAAGCCCATAGTCTAAGAATTGCCTTTATATTGCTAAATAGTTGAAAGAAATGAAAAGAATTTTGATTTGTAAAAATCCCATGAAATTCACATTTCAGCATCCATAAATCCAACTGTTACTACAGCCCAGCTAAGCTCATTCAGATCTATTACTGCTCTTGGGCTTCAATGGCAGCGTTCAGTTGAGTGACAAAGACCATGTGGGCCATGAAACTGACACTGTTTACTGTCCAGCCCTTTGTAGAAAAGTGTGATCAAATCTGTGCTTGATCAAAGAACTTTTGCATTTCTGCTGAGAGTATCCAGCTGGGTTAGACTCGCACCATTTCCAAGTGCAATTGAGTCAAACAAGGGGCCCAGCATTCCAGTTGTGCATAATTGGGCCTTAGGGGTCAGTGATAATTCCCCCCTCAGCTCTGAGGGCCTGTTTATTCATCTACTTGGCCTTTGTGGAATTATAGTTATTTCAAGATGATGATTCTGAAATGACACCAGAAAGTGTTGTTTCTGCACCATATGTTAATGGCTATATTAATGGTAGATTATGTTTCCAACTTAGAGTTTTAACGATTTACATAGTAATTGCATGCTGTTTTTCATGCTTACAGTTGCAATGGTAGTATTAGAGGTAGGTTATAAAGATTAAGGTATGAGGCTTGATGATTCTGAAAGCTTCCGCATCGTAACCTCTAGGTGGAAATAAGTAAACCTTTGGGCATCTTTACATTTATGCCATTCATTTGTCCACAGTGTTGGGAGAATGGCATCATCTTGTGCCGGAAGATTGCAGAGCAGTACGAGAGTTACTATGACTACAGAAACCTGAGCAAAATGAGGGTAAGTTACCCAGATCCATTCTAATGATACTATGGCATCCTGTTTTAAATAGCTTTCTGGTTTGGTTTTATGAAAATTGACTTTATGAACATCTTAAGGTATTGTGTATAAACCCTCTTTCAGATAAATCATCCCTCTGAAGTATACTCAGGCACTTGTTTAGAAAAATAGCAAATTGATCATTGTGATACATTGATTAATATACAAAAAGTGAGCTCTGGAGCTACTCTAAACACCACATCTGAAATACACTGTCTGATCTTGGCTTAAAACTACCATTTGTTGTTGAACATCTCCTTAATGTTTGAAGAGCTCCTTGCTTGTGGATAGATCTCTGTCTCAGCAGGCCATTCTTACTGCCAGAATCTGCACAGCAAAATAGTAGAAATGACTGACTCATGTACTCATAAATATTTGGGGACCATATTCTATAGGTGTCAAATCTCATTTGCTTTAGAAATGTTTTTATTTGCTTGAACTAAACCAAGATCTTAGGACCCAGCTCAAGGGTGCTAACTTGTTCCCAAACCAAATGTGTGTATATGTTCTTCTCTTTCAGATTCAAACAAATCCTGATTCTTTAGAGTCATGAACATTTTGTGTCATTTTACAATTCTTAATCTCTTCAGAGTTTCTAAAATAGGATCATTCATTTTTATGTATTAAAAAAAAGGTTATGATGTTGCCTTTAAATACTGAGGTAGCAATTTATGAGATGATATCCTAAATCTGAACAGCTCGTAAAAGCCCTTGTCCCCAAAGCAACGGACTGGCCCACTACTTTTGGCACAGTGTCTCATGTCAGCAGTTCATCACCATCTCTCCTAGCTTGAAAACTAAAGAGAAAAAACCTTGCTTTGACTTCAGTCCATCATGCTGACTCTGGCAGGCTCTGCCGTTTTATGTAAGAATATTGCTGTGCTTCCCTTGGCATCCTGTCCCTACAACAGAATGAAGGTTACAATGTTTACCCGAGAGAACCCTTGGGTGCCATAGCCACTAAGATTTTTATAAACCCAAAGCATTACACTTCATGCCAACTGCTCTTTTGGGGGCTATTACTGAGGGTGGGGGAGGGGGGAAGTTTTCAAGTGCAATATTAGTCTTTCTCTAGAAACCCTAGGGATAATAATAGCATGAATGGGAAACCATAAGCTTTATGTGCTTCATAGTTCCAACACTGTCAAAGACACACTTAAGAGCTTTCAGCCCTGATAGCCAGGAGCTCCTTTCATTTGGTTTGTTGTCTTATCCCTAAAGCCAATACAAAGTTGCACTTCTCAGATGCCCTGAATTACCATGTTCAAGGTAGAAGCATGTCCACAAGTGAGAGTGCATTTGGCACTAGGATTATCCAGAAAGGTTTTGCTCCTAATGGTTCATGTTAATTTTTACTGAGCCATGAAGAAAAGATGTCTTCAGTAGACTGTGTGTGTTAGAATCATTTTCTTTGGTGAGAACATGTAATTATACACTTGATCCTTTAAAGCAGGGGTTAGCAAACTACAGCCCATGTGTCCCGCAGAGCTAAATAATTGTGATAGAGACCATGTGGTCTGCAAAGCCAAAAATATGTATGTTCTGGCCATTTACAGAATAAGTTTGCTGATCCCTGCCTTAAAGCATCGAAAGGAAGTCAAACCTTCTTTTCTGAAAACGGAATTAAATAGAAAAACATTATTTAGAAAAAATATCCTCTTCAATAAATTGATAGCACCAAAGGATGAGATCAAATGCTTAGAATTTCTCCTGTGCTTTACTAGATGATGGAAGCCTCTTTGTATGACAAAATCATGGACCAGCAACGTCTCGAACCAGAGTTCTTCAGAGTTGGGTTTTATGGGAAAAAATTTCCATTTTTCTTAAGAGTAAGTAATTTATTATTTAATTTGCTTTCATACCTCTAATATCAAGAAAAACAAGATATTAATGACATGTTAACGTTTTAAGACAGGTAATAGCCTCATGAGATTTTCTTTGAGACTATGTGTTGGAATCATTTTCTTTGGTGAGAACATGTAATTATACACCTGATCCTTTAAAGCAGGGGTTAGCAAACTACAGCCCGTGTGCTGTTTTAGTTGCAACACCACACCAATGTAGAACACCTTCTTTAGAATAATTCCTCAAGATATCTAACCACCTTTTTGATTTTTCTTCCTAAGTTTCTAAGTATTCTATGCCTTTTGAGCAATTTTTGGTCATTATAGTTGTTTTCCTTGTGTGCCTGATACTCATTATTCTGTTCAGTCTGCATTTTGCATAGTGTTAGCATTAGAGAAAAATGAGAAAAATGATAGGCACTCAGGGGCTAGGATTTGTGGGCTGTGGGAAAATGTCACAGTTTCACATCGTGTGAAAATCCTACCTCCAGAATCATATAGAGAATGTTGTTTGGTCTGGTTGATAACTCTGTGAACAAGGGATCCAGTTTATTGCTAGCATAAACTACTCTACAAAGGAAATTGTCCAGACATTCTAAGGCACCTACTGGATAATGAAATATTTTGCTTCATTCTTACCAGTTGCACGTTGTTCCAGATAGTTTATATGCTTGAATTTTTATTGACCATTTCAATATGTAACATCTTACTTGTATAAAAAAATTGGTTAGGAGAAGAAATGTACCTTCCCAAGCAACCTAAGCAGTATCTGGGATAATTTGCAAAATTGAGCGAACTCATTTCAAACTTTCTATCTCAGTATACAATTATGTTGGTATTGGTGTGGCCCTGAATCTTGCTTTACTGTCAGTACATATGACTAGATAGAAGGGGAAAGGAAGTGGGGAAGATTTGACTTCATTCTTTATTTACAAATCATTAACTTATCTGCCTTTCAGAATGAAAGTTATATGTATTAGTAATACATATATTATAAACAATACATTTATAATAAATAATTATAAATATAAAATGATATACACATATGTATTTATCCCAGAATATCCAAACACCGTAGACAAAAGATTCATTTTAATATTATACGGGACAAGCACTCAAAGACATGTCGATACTGTCTTTGACTAAAATATCTGTGTATTTGGGTGCACATACATAAGGAAAATTTCCTTGTGTGTGTTACAAACAGAAGCACATGATGATGTGCATGGTCACAAAGTTGACTCTGCAAACAGATCTGCCTAAGGGTGGGAAAACTTGTTTCTCAAAAGCAGTGGCAAACTCAGAACATTTGCTGAGTTTAAAGACGTAAGTGGACATGCTGGCATCAGCATCCCTGTGCAGAGGCCCCAGCTTCCTAGTAGAGTAAGGATGTTTACAGTTGTGGGTACACAACTGTGCAGAGGACAGGAGACCTCACAGGAGGGCCAAGAAAAAACTTGGCCGCAGCACAGCCCCTGCCTCTGATCACTCCAAATCATGCAAAGAAGTTATGTTTCTTCTGCAGCATCCTAGGCACTAATTGATACATCATACACAACATACAGTGTTGAGACAATAATAATTTAGATGACCTACCAAGCTGTTTTAGTTTATCTTAAAAATCAGAAGAGTAAACTTTCAGGTTAAAGAAAATGTTGTAAAGTACGCTATATCATATATGTTAGATAACACTGAAATTTGTCATTATATCCAATCAGTCATATAATATGATTTTTAATATCTTTCTATGGAGGAAGGGGCCCACAAAAGTCATAATGTAACCCTGATTAAATTGTAAGTTCAGCTAGCAATTGAAATGTGAGGGTCCCTAGACAGCAATCTGGCATATGCAATTAATTAAATGTGTAAAGTTAAAAATAGTTTAGGAGCCATAATTTTAATGGGAATTTAAAACATTAGAAAGTTTTATTGGCTAGTGATATAAATTTTGTTAAAATATCTATTAGAATAAATCAAGCTCTGTATCCTGAGTCTCAAAAACAGCATTCCCTTCAAAATGAAAGGGTAGGGTTACCCTCTATTGGTCTGTAAAGGGCACTGCACCCTTCAGTGCATGGGGCTAGATAAACCTTTTTGTAGGAAATGAAATTCTGATCTGTTCTTCGATTTAAAAACAAAGAGCAACATTAAACTTTTCCTTTTATTGTATGATCAAGTTCAAGATAATTTTTAAAACTCAAATGAATAATTATAGAACTGTATCACCAAAGTATATTTTTTTCCCCCTAGACAATGAGTAGCCTGTTAATAGTGTTTTATATGCATAAACTATCTCTGAGCAATGATTCCTCTGGGAGAATGACCGAGGTCAAGGATGGAAAAGAGATTCACTTTCTGTTTTATACCCTCTACTATTTCGAATATTTTTAAATAAAATTTTTATTTACCACTAATTTACAATACTAAATCAATTTTAAGGATATAGCTTCACACCCCTACATGCATAAACCTCACCTTACCCACCTCACCCACTTCAGTTCTAGTGTCATCACACTATGAAATTGGTCCACTATGCCCAATCCTCCATCCTGTTCCACTTCTTCTCTGGTTACCGCCTTATTTTTTCAGAGTTTGAGTTACTTTTGTTGTAATCTATTAGTTTGTTTGCTTTGGTTATTTATTTTCCAGATATGAAGAAACCATCCAGTAATTCTCTCTTACTTTCTGACTTATTTAGACTAATCACTTCAAGTGTTATCCATATTGTCACTAAAAGGAAAATTTTCTCTTTTTTAACCACCAAGTAGTTAAGTAGTAGATACTCCATTGAGTATCTATACCACAACTTTTTTATCCAGTCACCCGTCACTAGGCACTTAGGTTATTTCCATGTCTTGACTATTGTAAATAATGCTGCTGTGAACACAGAGATACATCTATCTTTTTAAATCTAGTATTTTATTTTGGAATTTTTAAATTATAGGTATGTATTCCCTTTTTAAGAAAAGATGATAATTTTTTTATGTACCAAGAGCTCTAACCACCCAGTTTCATGCCTAAGTATATACCAAAGAGAACTGAAAATATATGTCCACACAGAAACCTGTATACATTGCAGCATTATTCATAATAGTCAAAATTGGAAAAGCCCAAAATGTCTATCAACTGATGAACAAGGAAAATATGGCATAGCTCCACAAGGGACTAGTCAGCCATAAAAAAGGAATGAAGTAATAATGTATGCTGAGAATGGATCAAATTTGAGGACATTATGTTAAATAAAAGAAGCCAAGTAGAAGGAAAAAAGGCCACATGTTGTTGTAGAGTTCCATTTATGTGAAATGCACAGAATAGGCAAATCTATAAAACAGATAGTAGATAAGTTGCCAAGGGCTGCAGGGAGAGGGAGAGGGGTGTAATTCTTAATGTGTATGGGTTTCTGAAATATTCTGAAATAGTACTGATAGTTGCATAACTGTAAATATACCAAAAGTAATGCAATTGTACATTTGAAAAGTGAGACACGAATCCGGGGCTTGCTAAAAGCAATGTTATCCAATTAAAAAAAAAATACTTTTTCACAAATAAATTTTGAAATTTGTGTTTTTATAACTTAAAAAAATTAGAAGCAACAGAAAGTGAAACTAATGATCTTTGCCCTGAATTTGTGATATTTGGGCAACTTTTTCAGACTTTCTGTATGTGTGTTTGTTTTTAGTCTGTTAATGAGGGTGGTGGGCATATGCCAGTGTCATAATTTTTATTTCTCTCTCTGGAATCAATGTACTCAGTTATATGGTCCTAATTTGTTTTATCTCTCCCCCAGAATAAGGAGTTTGTGTGTCGAGGGCATGACTATGAGAGACTGGAGGCCTTCCAGCAGAGGATGCTGAACGAGTTCCCCCATGCCATCGCCATGCAGCATGCCAACCAGCCTGATGAGACCATCTTCCAGGCGGAAGCTCAGTGTATCCACACCTCACAGAACTGGCTCCCGTGAGCTCAAGCTGGCCATGAGCCTGTAGAGCATTTTCATGCAAGATGGTTCAGCCAGTGACCCCTTTTCAATCACCATGTTCTTACTCTCCCTCTTTCTCATCACCTTAATTTTAGCTTAGCTCAGCATTAGCTTCTGAACAAAATTGTTCTATTAGTTATCACAGTGCCAGTTGAAAAGAAAACCTTTAAAAATTCCATTAAAGATTTTTTTTTCTTTTCATTTAAGACTTTTCTGTAGCTCAGTCCTGAAAAATGCTCTTTTTAGTGATTTCCCTTAGAATACTTTTCCTCTGATATATCCTATGGAAACAAGTTCAATGCAAGGAAGCGACAGCATTATGTTTACTGGCACATATTGCTCACCCCCTGTTCTCTTGACAATTTTATTCTGGAATGAAGGGAAGAGAAAGAGGTACTGGTATCTTTTCAGGCTTCTAAGCCATGGCATCCTGGACCACCTGTCGTAATTGCTGTCCATATACTTGATACCCCCACTGTCTTACATGAACAACTCAACTGCAATTACATACTCACTATATAGAAAGTAAATCCATTCCAGAACTTCTTTCAGAATCCCTCGCTCTCTTTCTGAAACTGGTGGTCTTAAAGACTGGAAACTCCCACTAACAATTATGGATACCATTTCAAAGTAGAAGCTGAAGTGCCACAGAATCAAGCCATTATGTAAGGAAAAATATTTTGCTGTCCTTCTTGAGTGAGAAGAGTTAAATATACAAAATGTACTTGAGAGAAAACCTTCTTTGAATGAGAAGAGTAAATACACAACTATGTAGTATATGTAGTTCATACAGTATCAACTACAACTAAATACTCTTACCAGTACAAGATTTGGGAGAATGGATACCACAAGTGTGGGAGGGTTGCAGATAAGGAATATTACACAGGTGAATAGAAGTCACTGTCAATACTAGCTTCTCTCTTTGGTCAGCGTTGCATAGATCTATTCATACACTTTTTTAAAAAACAAATAATTTTAAAAAGGGCTATGCATGGACTAAAGAGTGCCTTGTGAATGGACTATGGATTAGATATAAAAACTCAAAGTCATATAATATGAGTATCTAAGAGCCCATTCCCACCCTACCCCATCCACAGAAAAGTCAATGTCAAATTCAATGTCAAATGAATTCTTAGGTCATAGAAATTTCAAACTGATAAAATGTTTTTAGATTACCTACCTAAAACTAGTTCCAATTCTTTAATTTGAGGAATGAGTTTCTGCAAATCTAGTTCCTGGTACCTTCTTGTCTATTTTTTAATGACTTTGACCAAATGGAGACACCTGATGGTTATGCAGCTTCTTTTCCCTGCCGCAGCACCACTTGAGCTAGATTGCCATTGAGTTTGCCAAATAGGGTTTCCTCCTTGACTCTTTGATCCCAGACTTGCAGATCTATGCCGTGACACCTATTCCAGAGAGCCAGGAGGTTCTGCAGAGAGAGGGTGTTCCAGACAACATCAAAAGCTTCTATAAAGTAAATCATATCTGGAAATTCCGCTACGACAGACCATTTCACAAAGGCACTAAAGATAAAGAAAATGAATTCAAGGTACTGTGCTGTTTTTATTATATTTTCTTTCCTCAGATAGACTGTGAGTTCCTCAGTAAATACTTATTTAAAATAGAGTCATTTTACAGAACCAGAGGGACAGGAAATCATTTAGTTTGGTAGTTCTCACACTGCTGTGTATCAGGGTGACATGGGGTGCTTTCTAACCCAGCAGATTTCCATCCCTCCAGCTCAGAAATTCTGATTAAGTACAGCTGAGGAAAAAACCTGAAATGAACTTTTTTGTAACAACTCTAATGCCAGGGGTCCTGAGATCAGTCTTTGAGATCTCACTCATATTGACCTAATTGCGGGAATGCCAGGATATTTATTCTCAGATACTGTAGAATTCAATGAATGAACAATATTTAATGAAGGAAAAAGAGGATTTCAGAGAATAGTTGGATAGATTCTGATGTAGTTCTTAAGTTCTTTGCTGTCTTCTGCTGCTTATTCTTGCAAGAACGGTGTGTGAGTAAGAATTCTGAGAAGACCCAGAATAAAAGCCAACCATGTATGGTTTGCATGTCCTGAGTGTCTTGCAAATTCAGAGGCTCCTCAGCAGGAAAGAGATAAGATTTCTCACAGCCTCATTGAGAGAAAGGAGAAAAAGAAGCAAGAGCGTCCCAAGGATAAATTAGAATCTTTCCTTGACAGCAGAAACATAGAACAGATCGAGCCCCAGGTAGTCAGTATTCCACCCCACTAAACAAAGATTGCAAAATGAACTTTTACTGGGGGCAAATGGGCTTGGCAGCTTTCATCATGGGTGGTGTCCGCTGAAGCTGGACGCCTCCTCCTAACACTATCAGTCGCAATGACCTAATATCCTCTACCTGGTCACCTCTGCCTCAGTGTCAGCTCCCAGTGCTCCTAGCTGTAACTCCAGGAAATGCTCACAGCTTAGTGATGAAAAGGGGAATCCCTGCTAGTTTTGCAGTGTTGATGGCACCGAACAAAGAGCAGTCCATTGTGTGAGGAGGTTTGATGGTTACATATCCAAGCCGGAAGACTATTGGAAAAGCAGCACTGAGTTGTTGTTTAAAAATATCCAATATCATTTTCTAGTCATTTTGAGGACTTACATTTTTCTGTTTGCCCTCCAAGACCAATCAGAGGTCATTAGTTTCTGGTACTGTTCAGTCTATGGTACTGTTTTCATTGCAGCTGCTCCCTGTGAATAGGAGGTCAAAGACTCACTGTAGGCAGACAGCGCACTCGCTCAGAGTCACATTCCCAGCACTAGAACTCACACCTCCTGATACCTTCTCAGCCACTTTTTCTGCTGTACTACATTTCCACAGTCATGACTGTAAATATTTATCAGTGGTAGCATGACTCTTCCTCACCCACCCCAAGAAAAATAAATCTGGCTGCTTATTCCTTTGCTCACAGCCTTCGACATCTGGCTCCAAATTGCCCCTCCAGAAGTCTTGCCCACCCAGCCATCCTCCCTCTCAGTCCCAACCACACCAAACTTGTCTCTCCATCCCTTGTGGTGCCCTTGCACAGCCGCTCAGTGTCTCAGCGCCTGCTGCTTCCTGCTTCCTGCAGTGCTTCCCCCACTCTCCGCCTGGCAAACTCCTACTCTTCAAAATTCCACTCACATGTCTCCTCCTCTGAGGAGTGCTGTCCTCCTCCCACAGGATGCCGTGCATGCCTGCTTCCTCCCATGTCTCCCTCAGCACCTGGCACGTGCCTACCTGAGCGCTGAGCCCCTTGGAGCTCCTGCCTTCCTGGCACCACCAGGATGTGTCGAGCTCCTGTCACTAGGGCTCTCTGCCTTGTTCATTTCCATTTATCTTGGGTGGCACAAAGACATCTTTTCATTCTTTGTTGTGGTTGAAAAGTGGCACTATTTCAGGAATTTTACAAGTTTATTGTCCTCTTAGAAATAGACTTTGGTTAAATCACACAGATCTGGTTGACAAAAGAGAAACTCATTATCAACAGCAGCTCCTAGCAAAAGCAGCGTGGGTTCATGTGTCATGGGAGTTCCGGCTGCAGGGAACCCTGGCTATAAAACATAGATCTCCCTGGATTAGAGCAGCTCAAATGGGAACAAGAAAACATGGACAGTGGATATTGCATGGGAAGACAGGTGGGGGGAATTTACTGCTGGCATTGGGGGTAATTAGAATAAAGCTTTGATCTGGTCACACTGCCTCTGATCTTCATCTTTAAAATAGGAAGATCAAATTAATGATTCCTCAGGTTCTTTCCTCCTTCAGGATTCTGTTATTCTAGTCCTGTGTTGAGTAGCTGATACTGTTGCCCCTTCTGTTACCCAGACAAAAATGGGTGGACCCTGACAAGTAATGACAGTGTAAGTTAGAAAGTAAATGATAGCCTGCTTTTGGACTTTTTATCTTGCTGTCTAAAATAGGTCACTCATTCTGTACAAAAACCTGCCTCAGGTGCTATCCACACAGCTACATAGAGCTGCTCACAGAAGCGCCAGTGATCAGTCACTGTGATGCTTCATGAAAGAGAAGGCCTGCAGACGCGCGAGACTGAATACTACAGAAAACCCGACCGGAATAGGCAAAACTAGAGTAAACCAAATGATGAACCTGAGTCTTAGCTCAGTACCTAGAAAGAAGGGCGGTTTGGGGACTTACTTGTTTTGTGTTTTGTAGAGTCTCTGGGTGGAGCGAACATCCTTATACTTGGTGCAGAGTTTACCTGGCATTTCCCGCTGGTTTGAAGTGGAGAAGCGTGAAGTGGTGAGTATCACAGCTTCTTCTCCAGTAATTTCTCATCACAGTTGCTCACTTGGAGTCATGCTGTATGCAATCGCTTCGGCTTTTGGCCTGACGTGCCTATAAGCACTTGCAGTAAGTTAGTTAATGTTTGTCCTAGTGAACACTATCACCAAGGCTTGAAGGGAGATAGTGCTGTTATCCTGGTCCAGCCAGGGTAACAACTGTGGCATTTAAATTACAACTGTGGCATTTAAACAGCTCAGGCCCTTGAATTACGGGAACTGCCATTCTAGCTGAGGTCTCTTAGTCCTCAGTTCTGTGACCTGCAGTGCATACTATGCTCTGGGCCAGTGCCAAGGTTATTGACATTACCTTTTTTAATCACATATCAGAGCTATGAGGTATGTATTCTTATACCTATTTCCACAAGTTTCAACAAGAAGTTAAAGCCTGTGCCAGGTGTCACATAGCAAGCTATGGGTAAAGGATAGATTCTTCTGACTCCCAGGATAGTTATGTTCGTCTCTTCTCACTTGGTTCCCTCATAAGAAAGATAAGGCCAGCGCGGTATCTGACACGGTACGTCCACCTGTCCTGTGCACTCCAGAAGGGATGCTGGTGTGTTCGTCTTGCTAAGGTCGCATGAGCATCATCTGGAGATCAATGGTTATCATTAAAGAACCTGAAAGTCACAGCACTCCAGAACCATTTGGGTTATAAAACATGCCCCCATATTTAGCCCTCAGTTGTATGGAACAGGGAGAGCAGTGTTGCAGGCAGCCACATCCTGGTGAGACACTGCCCTGCAGCTTATGCTGCTCTTCAAGCTGACAGCACCAGCATCCTATCAGTCTCGCCCCCCCCACCCCCACTTCTCCCTCCCTGGGTGTATTATTATGGCTGGGGCCAGCCCTTTGGTAATTGTAGTCCTCTATCTGAGAGAAAATGTGCCAATTGTGAAAGTATAATTTAACTCCTTCCTTCTTTGGGTAACAAGCCCACTCTGTCAATGATTAAGTAAGAGCAGTTCCTGTATAAGTTCTCTTCCAAGAATGGCTTGTCCTACCTAAAATCTCTCTAAATATTGAAACATCTATGTTCATTTAATGGTACTTCCTTTTGAAGTGCTAACAATTTGTACAGCTCCCCAAACAAATTGAGCTCAGTTCCTTCGGTTGCATCAGTGCAGCTGTATTTCTGTACATTCTTAGTGAAGGGTCCCTAAAGCTGGGTGCATACGTGGTGTACCCTTGTGCCTTCCGTGGAAGAGGAGAGCCAGCTAAAGTTAGTGCTCAGAATGTCTTATTGTTATTCTTCCTGCTCTATGGCATGGGCCCAACCCACAGAATGTTCTTAGTCATCCAACCTGCATTAATGATTCAGAGAGCCTTTTCAGCTACTTACTACCCAGAGTGTTAAATTCTGTGAAGTCTCATTTCAAAATATCACATGCACACATACACTACACTAATAAAAAGTAGCATGCTGATAATGATTAAAGGAGCATTGTTAAACACCACCTTTCGAACATCAGCTGCCTAATGTATTAGAATATGTAATCTTCTATTCTGTCAAGCGGAACAAATCAAACTGGGCAACTTTGTTCCCTGAACACAGCCCACTCCTACCAACCTTATATTTTTTTATTGTTCCCACTGCCTGGAGTGTCGCTACCTTCTATTAAAGTTACTGATTTACTGCTTTAATTCCTACTGTAGAAGGTCATCAAGATCGAGGGCACATAATAGGTACTCAATAAATGTATGCCAGACTGAATTGAAATTCCTTATGTGCAATGCCAAAATCTGAAATATTCTTGAAAACCAAAAGGTTTTTCATAAATTGGGCATCAAGACTCAATTTTATTTATAAACCTAGCCTTCTCTGATGTACAACCACCTTTAACTTGGTGTGAATGTTCCTGTGTTTTACTGCAGAAGTATCAATGCATTTCATTAAAGGGAACTTCCCCAGAACCAGCTTGGGAATTACCTGATACACTATTTGTACCCTAACACCTGAAATCTGTAAAGTTCTGAATTCTGAAACATCGAGCACCAAAAGTTTCAGATGAGTTTATGGCCCTTGGTTTTCTAAATCATAGCCCCATCGTATATTAGCCCATTTGTTCAAAGACAAAAATGGTTTTCAGTTACTGTTTCCTCAATAGTTGTTTTGTTTTCAAAACAAACCAAAAAGAAATCTTTATTTTTGATTGGTCGAAAAGTAAACTAAAAAATGTTTAAACAAGACAAACATATTAAAAATTCCAGCTAAAGATGAGATTGTCATACCTCACAGCCTTCAGAAAATCATAGGCCTCTATTTTCTGTTTCAAAATATACCCAGAATCTAACCACGCCTCACGCCCACCACTGATAGCACCATCTAGTGCCTGATTTCTGTTTCCTAAAAGGTTGCCTGCTTCTACCCTGACCCCCTGCAATCACTTCTGTCCTTTTTAAAATTTCACTGATAGCATAAAAGGAAACTGTACAGTGAACCTGGGTGTCCTTTATTTTACTTCAACTATCAAAAAGGCCAGTTTCCATCTGCATCTCTATCCATTCCCCTTCACACTGGACTATTTGAAGTAAATCACAGACATCATATTTCATCTATAAATATTTCAATATGTATATTAACAAAAAACTCATACTATATCCCATCTAAAAAAATTAACTTTTTCTTTGATCATAAAATATCCAATTCATTCACACACTTCACCCAATCTTTTTACTTCAGATTTTTGTCATTTGAATCTAGATGCAAGTAAAAGTCATACACTGCAATTGATTGAAATGATTTCATAGGTTCTTTCCTGATTTTTAGGTCCCTATGAATAACTTGTTTTTCCTGCAGTTTTTTTTTTTTTTAAATACATTATTTATTTATTTATTTATTTATTTATTTATTTAAAGATTTATTTAAAGATTTATTTATTTATGCGGGGGGTGAGAGGATTCACCAGAGACAGAGTGGGGAACAGAACAGGTAGACTGACTGAAATACACTGCTGAGGGGAGGAGCGGGAGAATCAGGAGAGGTCTGCTGTGCCATATGGGTTTCTCCCTGGCCGGGGATCAAACTCTTGCTGCAGAGTCTGCGGTCAGCTTCATAGGTTGTGTCTTAACCCCTTGCACCACCAGGGAGCCCCCTTGCAGTTTTTTGGGGGTGTTGTTGAAGAAACCAGGCTGCATCTATCCTGAAGTGTTTTCCTTCAGTTGGATTTTGCAAAGTGAGAAGCATTCGGGTTATTTAACCTATTTCTTTGTCCCTGTATTTTTTTGTAAATTGGCAGTTAGATCTAGAGGCTTTTTGTTTCTTTTTTCAGCAAGACAACTTCATTTCTTAACTGAAAGAAAAGCATATTTTAATATACTTACTGTTTACAGCTGAGAGCTTTATACACCTTCTCTTCCTAGGGAATGTCATTGACAATAACAATGCCATTCAAGAGTATTCTCATCATTTTCACAATTAGGTTCTCCCACACAACCCAGAATTTTTATCTCATTATGATTGTTTGGCTCTCCTTCAACAATTAGATCCTGCAGCATATATGATTATTTTCTATAACTCCCAACTGTGTGACATCCTGTGTCACCTTATGGTGCTATTATAGATTCATACAGGGTCTGTATGTGCACATGTCCCATCTTCCCAAGTGGGCTGAAAGCTCCTTGACACCAGAATTCTGCAAATGAATCTTTGTATCACAGTGCTTTGCATCAAATAAGCAGCTAGAAGGTGATAATAATATGCAGGGCCGTGAATATTTAGCCCTTCAAAAGAAAAAGAGGTGATTTTGGAAGACATAAGATGCTTGGGTTTTCTTTTAAGGATTAAGTTGATTGTTGCAGTGTTAATATATAATTGGTGATTGTCAATTATTGAAACCATATGTCTGCCAACAAGTATAATCACCTTCTCTTTCCAGACTTTCCTAATGAACAACTAATTTGTCTTACTTCCCTATCTGTTCTACTGGATAGACCCTAGTAGAGATATTGATGGGAGCGAAGGGGGAAGCACGTAATTCAGAACATGGATAATCTACTTTTTCGTTCTTCTGAATGTCACAAAATCCAATATATATTTATACTCATTTGCTTCACAGGTAGAAATGAGTCCTCTGGAAAATGCAATTGAGGTGTTGGAAAATAAAAATCAGCAGCTGAAAACTCTGATAAGTCAGTGTCAAACCAGACAGATGCAGAATATTAATCCCCTGACCATGTGCCTGAATGGCGTCATAGATGCTGCAGTTAATGGTGGAGTTTCCAGGTATCAAGAGGTAAGGAGTAGGTATTGTTTGAAAAGGGATTTTTCAGATGTCATTTCTTTGGGTTTCAGAAATATTTTTTTCAAAATATTTATACATGTCAGCATGCTAAATTCAGGCTACAATTGGCACAAGGTCATTTTTAAATGAAGCAAATAGTCATTTATGAGACACATTTATTCCATTTCCAAAGATGTGATATTTTGAGGATAAAGATGGTTTTTCTTGAATGAATTAAGGTGTAGTGAGTGTATCAGCATTGTTTAATAAATGGCATATCTGAAATCATTTACCTGACTAAAAATGTTCATGGGCATACAGAAGTCTCATTTCATTTAGAAGATCCACTTAAAAAGTGAATTCTCTTCTGCCTTCTTAGTTTCAAAGAAAAAGGCACAATAACTTGGATGATGAGGCTACCATCTTGATGGCACTGTATCAGTGCATTTTCTGGATATAATGCCATAAATCTTACTCATGTGAATTTGCTATTTGCTTATTTGTGTTACCAGTGACACTTATCTGATCTCCTTTTAATAGTCCTTTCCTTCTGTTCTCACTATGATCAGCCACCAGGAAACACTCACTGCATTTACCCCAAATGTGGTTTTTAATGGTATCATTTCTTTAAAGATGCCATGGTTTTAAAGACAATTTCCTTCACTTCCTTTGTAACTCTCATGGAGTGAATATCTATTCTATCTCCTACTAGGCATTCTTTGTCAAAGACTATATCTTAAGTCACCCTGAGGATGGAGAGAAAATTGCACGGTTAAGAGAGCTGATGCTTGAGCAGGTAAGGAGCCAATCCCCCACTTTCCCTTCCTAGATAAATGCTTGCTTATTCAGGGACCTTCTATGTGGTTTTGTATCACTGACCTATCTGAAACTGAGAGTCAGGAGTTAGATTCATGTATTACATAACCTAACTTGTTAATTCCTACACTTTGAGTAGACTATGGCAGCCATTTATAACAACTCCATGTGCTCTTGGACTGTTTTTGGAATGATTCCTCCCTAAAGACATACCTTAGACTTGATGCCAAATTTTCAAGCTCTAGTCAGTCAGTGCAACACAAACTAAATGAACAGATAAAGGAAGGAAGGAAGGAATATCTTAAATGTTATAAGGATGTGGACAATCATTGACTGCTTTAAAACTGGTCATGTTTTACAGACTAAACCAATAGATTATATGATAGACAAAATTAGATACCATCTCATTTTTACTCCCAGAAAGTATAGTTTATTTTTATTTATTTGGTTCCATCAAATATGAAGAGGAGTCAGTAATCTCTTGGCTCTTATGTCTCTGTTGGTAGTTCATGATCTGAAAATGGTCTGGAAACCTCTCAGGAGATGTTATCATTAGAAGTCTGTGTTAAATAGGAAATACTTTCAATACACCGAAAAAAGTAGAATATGCAATGATAAAATCTGACAAAGACAACTTTTCCCACTTGATAATACCATATTAATAAACATGCAATCTTGGATTAGAAAAATATGGGGTTGTGTCTGGCTGAACATGGACATCCAGAACAGTTGTGCACCTTCTGGAAAAGAAAAAGGAGTTACCTGAGGTTGGCCTGCAAGGAAATAGATATTAGAAGTCAGTAGGTTTGGCTATCCAGTATTTAGGATTATGGAAATTTTTAAAAACTGTGTTTCACCTGAGCAGAGTCTCTTATCAGTGATCTGACTCACCCTAGGACTCATCACTGTATTCAGTTGGAATTCTTTCCCAAAATTAAAATGGTAACTCAGGACCTGGAAGCCTTTCAAGGAAAAAAAATTGAGAACCTTTATTTCCTCCATACCTTTCCTGATTATGTTCATGGGGCCTTGAAGAGGTGTACGCCTAGGACACATTAGATCTCTGGTACAGGATAAGCAGCACAGTGCTGCCTACTGACCTGGAGCAGGTTGCAGCATGTCTATGGGCAACTGTAGTGGAGGGCTGGGCTACAGAGGGCACCATTCTCCCCTGGGCCTCTGTGAAGTGGCTCAGATAAACTCTTTGGAAGACATGAAGTTGCACTGCCACAGTGCTCCTTCTGGAAAGCGCTTACTGCCCCAGCTGCTGGGAATAGAGCCCTCCACAGACACATCTGGCTCTCATCCTGTAGGCATTGTCTGACTTACAGAGAGTGGTTGTCTGAGCTTCCCGGATGACCCACATCCAATGACTGAGAAAGCGCTAGAAAACCTGGCCTTTTGGGCCCAGTGCAGCACAACTCTGCTAGATTGTTAAAGGTCCAGAGCACTCCTGGGGTTGGAAAAGGTTGATTGGACCCCCAGGCAACTCCACTTCCAGCTCAACTTCTTCACCAAGCCCTGCTTCTGCCACCCAACCCCAAGCAGTAATCCCCAGGGATATGCCCCAATCAGCATCCTAACAATCAGCATCCTAATTTCCCTACTTCCCAAAGAAGACCCCGTGCAACATTATGCAGACAAAAGGGAGGTCCCCCAGCTGCTGGTATTTAAAGTAGAGAAGCCTGGGACACCTCCCTCCCTGTGTCCCCTCATCGCAGCGACTCCACTCTTCCTTTGCTCTCCAGACATACTCTTCAGACTACTGCTTTCAAAGGGGTCCTTGTTTATTGCAAGGTATTTTTATCTTTATGCAAATGTGCTGGCAGTATTTGGGAGTTGCACCTCTGTTCTCTTAGGGAAGGTGCTGAATGTTCTCACCCATCAGGGTCAATCCTGTTTGACCCCAGCTTTCAATCTTGACTCTTCACAGACTGTAGATAAAAGACAATTTGTGATTAGTCCTCCCCCCGCCTTGGAATTTGTTGTTTTGACCACTTTAGCATGGGGCATTTTTTTCCCAAATATTTATTTATTTATTTATACAAGCACTGGGTACAGTCAGAAATGTGGGAGGGTGAGAGAATTCACCAGAGCAGGGAACAGAACAGGCAGACTGACGAAGTACACTGCTGAGGGGGGCAGCGGGCGGCAGGAGAGGTCTGCCCGCCATGTGGGAACCTCGCCTGGCAGCCGGGGATCGAACCTGTGGTGCAGAGGCTGTGGGCTGCTTCTCAACCCAGAGCTCAACCGCTGTGCCACCAGGGGAGGCCCAGCAGGCGGCATTTTTAAAAATTGTAAAAGAATGCCTTTACTCAAATCAAAGGGATTAAGCACTATTGATAGTTGTACAAAGGCAACTTGAATGTTTATGCTCCTCTGATTGGGTCCTCACAGAAGGAAACATTTTTAAAAGAAGGAGCAGTTCCTTTTGTGTTGTGATAATTGAAGGAGAATAATTATTTTTTAACCAACACAAGGTACATAGTAACTGATATGTACCTTGTGAAAAAAAATTCTTTTTCACTTTTTCCTTCCCCCTTAAGAGATTTTGAAAATCTGAAGGAGGGATTAATGGGAAAAGAAGAACCTGATGGAAGATAGAAGGGTAACCTGGCAAAGAGGGTGCCATGCAGACAAGAGATCCCTTGGAGAGAACTGCCTGACCCCATTAAGGGGAGGCAACTCCTGTCAGCTTTTACTATCCCATCCTGGGAGTACAGGAGGGGACCAAAGGGATACACAACTCTTTGGAAGGGTTGTTATTATAGACCTAAAACACATGGGAAGGAAACTTGGAGCTGTAGGAAAATCAAGTCTTTGGATCAGAGACCTACCTCCAAATCCTCGCATGTCTTTTCCTCCATGCAGAATTTTCCTGATCTTCAGTGTGCTCTCCTGTAAATTAAGGATTGTTTCTATCTTGTCAGATTGAGAAGATTAGCAATGATGCATGCAAATACACGGCACAATGCTTGATTCCTGGCACTGTAGTTGTGGAAGTATTCATTGATGTGAATTTTTCCTTACATTATTTATTACCAAGGCACAGATTTTGGAATTTGGTCTGGCAGTGCATGAGAAGTTTGTGCCTCAAGACATGAGACCCCTTCACAAAAAGCTGATCGACCAGTTCTTTGTGATGAAGTCCAGTTTAGGGATACAGGTATGTACACCAAGTTTCCATGGGGGGGCACTCTGACCACTGCCTTTAGCTTTTTGTTAAAAGCTGGAGAAAGCATCCAAGAGTGCCATCTTTTGGTTTTTCTATCAAACTGCACCATTTTACCAAAGAGTCCTCCAATCTTAAAATTGCATCAGTTTCTATTTGCCAGGTTCACCTTTTATGAAAACAAAACACTAAGGGAGAGAAAGCATGATACTGTAACTTACCTTAATAGGTCCCTGTGTAAAGCTTGCATGCCTATCTAGTATACCAATATATCTTGATAATTACTTTGCCCATATAATTTCTAAAATATTTTTTTTTACTACATCTGTAGGAGTTCTCTGCTTGCATACAAGCCAGCCCTGTCCATTTCCCTAATGGAAGCCCACGCGTGTGTAGAAACTCAGCACCTCCTTCCATGAGTCCAGATGGCACCAGGGTAATTCCTAGACGCAGGTAAGTCATATTCTGAATTATCTTACAATTTGGCATCCCCACAAGATGATCTGGAATGATTTTCTCATTCTTTATGGCAAGATTTGTCAAATACGCTATTTCTTAATGAAATAATTAACCCGCGAGGCAGTTGCAGACATCTGCCACTGGTAAAACAGCAACAGCATGAGAAATAAATAGACTCAAACATTTGATTGTATTGAGGCAAACAGGAGACAACAAAATGGGATGCAAATTTTTTTCCTTTGGTTTTATACCATGCCAGCATGTGATAAAGTGCAATTCAGAGACTGAGCTAACGACATTTCTTTTCCCCCCAAAACAGCCCATTAAGTTACCCAGCTGTCAACCGGTATTCTTCCTCCTCACTGTCCTCACAAGCTTCTGCTGAAGTAAGCAATATTACAGGGCAATCAGAAAGCTCTGATGAAGTCTTTAACATGCAGGTACTTGATTAGCTTTTTGTCTGGTTGTGTTCATTCCTTTTCTGTCTCAATCTTGAGTTTCTGTTCACTCTGCTCTGCTAATGAACAGACTACGAGCAAGAATTTGACTTAAGGACAAATCTTCAAACACCCGTATTGCTTTCCCAGTCTCTGGAGTTTACAAAGCTTTTTCTCTCCACACCACCCCATCTTCTTTAAGGCAACAAGAGCAAGCCCTGGAGTGGCCCCGGCAGGCTGGGCAGGACTGAAGGCTGACACCCACCTCTGATTTGGGCTGTCAGTCCAGAACTCATGGAGCTTGTCCCTATATACGAAATGCCTCTTAGCATTTCTAAGTAGCTTTTTTTCCTTCAAGAAAACATGGTTTCGGGATCCATAAGATCCCTCTAGTCATGTATGTTCAGTTTTCAGTAATATTTTTTATGAAAGAAAAAATACAATTTTCAGGGACTTTAGAGTCAATATATTGCTTGGAACAAAAAAATGTACATTTAGTAATGCAGCATTTATAATAATACAGACTAGGTTGAAATTCTCCTCACTACTTTCTTTGACAAAGGGGTATATACATCTTGCAAAATTTATGCTTGAAACACAGTTTTGAAGAAAAAGAAAAGGTATATTCTCTGCCTTTGAGATGCACTCACCTGTTTACATGCCCCAGGCTGGGGATTGTCCTGCTGTGCTCTGGTCAGGGAAAGCATGCCAGTCACAGCATGTAGCTGAAATTCTCACAAATGCATTCCTTTGGCAGGAGTCAAAATGTTGGATTCCTGATTAACTCAGACAGGCCTTCTTATTGGGCTGAGTAAAATTTTTATACATATCTAAATGACCTTTTTAATTTTTTGCTAAGTTGAAAAAAAGTTAGTGATTTTGTTTCAATGATGCCAGTGTTGTCGGGAGCCGCTAAACATGTATGATAACGACGCCCTGTTTTTGCAGCCAAGTCCATCTACCTCAAGCTTGAGTTCTACTCACTCTGCTTCGCCTAATGTGACAAGTTCTGCTCCATCAAGTGCCAGAGGTCAGTACCAGGGGGTATAGTAGACTGAGGGTCCCCAGGACACTTTCCAGCCCTGGCAGCCGTGGCTTCAGCTGCTGCAATGGGGCTGTCCTCCAAATAGGTCCAGTGCCACCACCATGGAAATGATCCTTCACCACCATGGAAATGATCCTTTCTTTCCTTCTCTCCCCAGCTTCTCCCTTGTTGTCTGACAAACACAAACATTCCAGAGAAAACTCTTGCCTGTCCCCAAGAGAGAGACCATGCAGTGCCATCTATCCAACACCTGTGGAGCCTTCTCAGGTAGTCTTGTGGGGTGGAGAGCGCGGAAAACTTAAAAGTCTAGAGTGGCTTCCATCTCTGCTGAAGCACACTGCAGCTGCCAGGGGCCACCCCAGCTGGTAGACCACCAGTCCTTCTGGGTGAAGCGTGCAGTGTTCAGTGCCTGCTGCTAGGGATATGTGGGCTTGTTGCCTGGGCCAGAAAGCTGAAAGAGAAATGGAAAATTATTTTACCCTCCTTAATCTAATATTTCATTGCTGCTGCTTAAACATTACAAGGGGTATTGAATGAATGCCTCGGGGTGTATGTGTGTGCATGTATGCTTGGATGTGTAGGGCACAGAACTTTGGAACCTCTTGTATTAGCAGAAGACCCTTGAAGAGATGCATGCTCAGCCTAGTGGGCTTTCTTTTTGCCTCTACAAGTTAGAGAGCTGCAGTTCCTTTCTGAGGTCCCCCAGCATGCTGGGGACATTTCTGTTGGCCTGTACCTTTCTCCTTTAATATGTTGAGGGGAAAGCAACTGAGTCCTTGGGCTTTCCTTGCACGCCTCAGGAGTAAGGGACATGGCCCATAACCTCCTACGTGGTTTTGAAGTAACTCCCTCTCGGTCCCAGTGAGGGCAGTGCCAGAGGTTTGGGCCCCTGGTACTCCAAGGGCTTTGAAGGGTGGTTTCAAAGTTTCAAAGGGACAATTCAAATGTAGTCCCAAGTTGTACTGATTATCTGGGAATGAATATTTAGGCATGGGGAAAATAGATATTTGTACTCTAGCTAATTTCTCTGTTTTTCTACACCATCCTGGCAGAAGGCTGTAGCTGCATCTGGAAATGGATGAGAGCGAGTGGGATTTGGCTTGATTGGTTTATCTTTGCTGATTGTGTGATCTTCCCGAAAGTCCCCGGATATCTACCTCATCTGCACAACACTGATCGCCCGCAGAAATTACCTCTGAGTGCGTTTGACTCAACCACCTAACCAGTTTTATTTCCCTTTGTCACCTGATGTCGCAAGGGAATGTAACAGTTCCATCTGCTCTAGGAGAGCATGTTGACGGCATGGGGGGACTCTGACAGCCTTCCTTGATTAGTCTCTCGAGTGTTCTGCTTTGGGTAAAATTTGAAGCAGTGTGTATGTGGCCAAATTTCAATAATACCCCTTGCAGCTACTTTGAAGAGCATGGTGCTTTCCTTTTAATATATCATGTGGAGCCATATAAAATTGTCATTTTTGTGGATGAAAATTTTAGGATATTGATCTTTTCATTTCTTTTAACCTAACCTAGGAAATTAAATTGAAGGAGTTAAAGTCCATTCACTAGAGATTTTTTGGAGCCAGCATTTCTTCTCACACTCACATTTCATACTGTCAGTCTAGCATTTGTATTTAAAAAGAGCACCATAGCTTACCTGATACTTACCACTTATTTTTCCCTACATTTTATTACAAAAAAGACTTTAATATTTATATAAAAATCTAATACAAACTTTTTAAACACTGTGTTGTCTTCCTCCAAATCTAAGACTCTTCTCTTTTTCCTTGAATATAATTGATTCTTTGTTCCTAGGCTCATACCATAGCAAAATTATTTTTAACAAAAAGTGTCAGTACTGAGGTAATCACCTCATTGTTAAAAAGGTCTCACATCTCAACATATTACATCATCAAAATAAGACTCTCATACCTTTGCAGAGGCTGCTGTTTAATCATATCGGAGATGGGGCGTTGCCACGTAGTGACCCAAATCTTTCTGCGCCTGAGAAAGGTGGGTATAAAGCCAGGCCTCTCATCAGTCCTGGAGTGGGTAAGGGTTTGTTTTGTCCTCATTTTCTCCAGTCTCCTGTGTGTCTGTGTGGAAGATCTTTAATCATCAGGATTAATTTGCTCTATAAGGGATTCACCAAATGGTCATTCACCATGCAATCTCCAAAAACTTTTCTTGTAGAACTTAACAACAGCACCTGAGCAAGTTAGGCACTCCTCGGTTTAATGATTTTTGGTGTCATTCAATGAGTCACTGAGGCAATTCCTGGGTTTCCAGAAACCAAGTTGCCAATTAGGATACGTGTTCAGCACAATGAAAATAGCACCTTCCCAGACAGATTCCATCCCACCTTTGTTTCGCTTTCCAAGCTCATTCAGCCAGCTCATCTGTTGTTTGTGGTGATTCAAATACTATTTAAGAATTGCAATCCAGTGCATAATGGAGTGTGTCCTGTTGCAAGGTCACACATGAAAAATGAGAAACAAATACACGCATACCAGTTAATAGCCCATTAGCATCAGTCGGTGCTACAAAGCAGAGGATGATGAGTAGATTATTGTGACTTCCTCAGCTACAGGGTGGAGGCTTACAGTCAGTCGCCCATTTGCCTCTCTTGGGGTCAAACCTCAAAATTGGAATGGTCCCCAAGTCAATGAATCAAGAGTCCCTAATGAAATGTCCCTGAGGATTGCACTTAAATGACAGATCTAGTTCTTAATGAGGGCATTTAAAGAACAAAGAAACATTAAAACTTTTCTTGGGAGATAGAAATTTGCCAGACAGTCCAAAATTATTTTATAAAACACAAACTGTGCTTTAGTATTACAAGTCAAATATTGATCTTCATCTAGAGAACTCGGGAATATGGTATTTTCCCTTGTTCTTTCTCCCAAAGAAGACCGCAAATCTAAAAGAAACATAAAAAGTCTAAGAGTGGCATAGTTTCCTCTCATTCAATGAACGTGGCAATTTACCTGTAAAAATGTTGAAATCCCACACATGCCCATCAGGTGGCAGTGTCTGCACAGGGAGCGAGCTACTGACACTATCTCAGGACCGTTTTTGTAAACCTCATTGCATCAAGGTTATTTATAACCCTGTGCGTCTTGCCCTTGTTCCTAACAGGGTTGTTCTGCATCTTACTGAAGCATGAGGCAGGCAGATTACAAAGAAAGGAATGATGCTCTCAGTATTATTCCAGATTATATTTTTTAGGTGATATACCCTAGTATAATCTATGGATTTCACCAACAACAGTCCGCTCCTCAAAGAATTTATCAGCAGAATGGCAAGATGTGCCTGTTCTTTCCTAGTAATTCTGCCAAATAGCATGTCATTTCCTTCCCCCTTTTAGAGAGCCACTTGTCCAGAAATTTCCACTAAAAACTAAGTTTTAAAATAGTCCAGTGACAGCATCTTCCATCTGTTATCTAGCATCTAAACACAGTTATAAATTTCAACAAGTTTCTATAGTGTAGAGATTTGTAGCACTGTTTTACTGCTTGAGGGGAATAAAGAGACATGCTATCATCCAATTAAATGTCAACTATAACTGTGAGATAGACAATTAAATATTTAGGAGGCTTCTGGGTGTTTTTTTTTTTTTTTTAATCCAGTTGAATTTTTTTCCATTCTGGATAATTCTGACTTTCTTCTAAGATCTCAAGTGTTCAAAGAACAAAGTGGACCATGTGTTTTTAGCTGTGTTGTTCCCTTCCAGCTGTGAATCCCACCCCTAGCAGCTGGAGCCTGGACAGTGGGAAAGAAGCCAAGAACATGTCGGATAGTGGGAAACTTATCTCTCCCCCTGTCCCTCCAAGACCCACACAGACTGGTGGGTATTTGAAGCATTTGAACAATCACTTTCATTAAATAACTTAATTGACTATTCCAACTAGTGCTGAATTCCTCAGAGAAAGGCATTGGCGTCTGAGGTAAAAACCTTACTAGCTGCAACATTTATTAACAATTTTCTCCCTCTTTCTTGAACTTCTGTTACACTAAGTCAAATGGCAAGTCATTCCTAAAAATCTTTTCAGATTTTATATTATGTTCTCGCTGCTGGGCATCATCCTCAAACTTTGGGGAGTATTCTAAATTTAATGGCTGCTAGCATTTTCTCTGTTCTTCATTTGAGCCACCTCATTCCTAACAGCTTCCACTAACTGCCACTTTCTTCAGTCTTATTCTGGACTGATGCCAAGGCTTCAGTTTGCCTCTGGGTAGGAATTGACTAACTATAGCTTTGATTGATTTGTGGGGAACCACTAACTAATTTAAAATAATAAAATCTAATAAATAATCATATCTATCTGTTGTTTAGGGAAGTTTGTATTCAAGGTTCATATTTCTCAAAGGCTTGACTCAGGACCCTGCATCCCCTGAGTTGGGGTTTGTAGAAGCAAATTCTCTTTAAGGCTAACCTGAGACCTACTAAATCAGAATTTGAGTATTTCTGGGAAAAGGCCCTAGAATCTGTACTTTACCACACCTTTCTAGATGTTGAAAACCCCTGAAAGTTATTCTTGAGAACCCTTGTAAATTAATAGCATTAACAGGCCCCTTTTGTCTCTACTCATTCTACCTGTACTAGTGCTTGGGAGAATCTTTTCAACACTTACCTGTGTCTAGGGTGGTTTTGAAGCTTCACAAATATAGTAAATACAGTTGGCCTGAAGCAAGAGAACATATTACACCATTTCCTTAAGGGAATTTTCTGGCTTTATCATGTTTCATTTGCTGCTTTTAGTACCTCTTTTCTTTTCTACTAAAGAAAAGAACCTGACTTTCCCTTTCTAAAAAGAAAATGTGCTACCCAGTTTGTTCTATACATGCCAAAGCTAGAAGTCACCAATGGGTTTTGAAAGGCATGGGAGACCTTTAAACAGAATAAGAGTGATTATAAGCCTAATTGGATATCTACATTAGTATATCAGTGTGACTGTAAAAGAGTAAGACTTATCAGCTCAGTAATTTTTTTTTTAAGATGTATTTATTTATTCATACAAGCACTGGGTACAGTCAGAAGTGTGGGAGGGTGAGAGAATTCACCAGAGCCAGAGCAGGGAGCAGAACAGGCAGAAGGACCGAAGTACACTGCTGAGGGGAGCAGTGGGCGCGGCAGGAGAGGTCTATGTGCCATGTGGGACCCTCGCTGGTGGCCGGGGATCAAACCGGCACTACAGAGGCTGCGGGCAGCTTCGCAGCCCAGTGCTCAACCGCTGCGCCACCAGGCGAGGCCCAGCTCAGTAATTTTTATTGTATTTATGACATACATATATCATATATTCAGAAGTCCCCAGTATAAGTCTGGTTGTACCCCTAAAGTTAGGAACTTGAAAAAAACGCTTTCAAAAGAACAACAATATTTATTAAAGGTAGCTAGATTCTTGGGCCAATTCAAGCTTGTAGACAAGGCTGCTGAATAGAACTGTGTTACGTCTCTATGGGGAACGCCTTACAGAGAATCATCTCTAAAGGCGCACTGGGTGTGGGGGCTGCTGTGGTGGTGTCTGTGAACACCGGAGTCAAGAAAGAGTGTCCCATGCAGCAAGAAACCGTGTGCCACAGTGCTGGAGGAATTACAGTTCCCAGCCAAGACCTGCTTCTCTATACATGCATGGTTTTCTTCCATAATGAACTTTGACAAGTGAAAGGATATAAGAACTAACACTTGTGTTGGGACATGCCATGAACACCCCATTGTGTGAGAGGGAGACTGCAAACCCCACAGTGTGAGAGGGGCCTACTGCCCCTGCCCCTCAGACACAGCGCTCGCTCGGCCCTCCCAGGCTAACATGGCAGGCTGCCCTCCCTTCTGCACTGATTGCTCTCGTGGTCTGTCCTCATGTCATCTGTGGTCACTGTCGGGGGGAAGCTCTAACTGTCTGTCTTTCCTTCAGCCTTTCTGTCATTCTCTTAAGCTCACTGTGACAGCAGGGAGAATGGCAGCTCATCACAGAGCAACAAGCCCTGAACTCACCAAAGCCTCTGTAGGTGGGAATGGGAGATCTGGCTTCCACTCGCCGTGTTGATTGTCACAGCAGACTTGCCACGCGTGTGGTTGTGTTCAGCGAGCTGCATTGATCCATAAGCACACACAGCAGCACCAGGGCACATGCTGTGTCCTGGATGTAGGACTTGAAAATCTAATGGGAGAAACAGAGCATTTTGATGATGATGAAATCTAGAGAGCAAACTCCCACCCTATCCCCTAGACCCCCAGGAACAAAGGGAAAACTTGAGTACTGGCATTAGGAGGTGAAATGGAAAACTTTTCCCCCCTTATATGGACCAGACCAAGAATTTTCTGTTTCAGTATTGGGATGGGAAGAAGCAGTTGGTGTCAAATTTTCCATGTACCTATTCTAAACTGCCTGAGTGGCATTGGTGTCTCCATTGCTATACAGGCCAAAGTCAGCAGTTGTTTCCCAAGCACACTGCTCCCTGGCACCTCCACTCCTGAACACTTTTTGAAATGGATCAAGCAGTGGAAAAGCATCTGGTCTTGGGGAAACAGAAAGGTTGTTGTACCAGGTTGGGCCCCTGTCAATTTGGTTAAAGCATCATCCATGCACTGGTGATGTTTCAGTCATTAGCCCATGTCTTGGTTTGTGAGGAATCTGTTTTGAACAATAATCAGTACGTTTCTCCCTCATCCTCCTTCTTAGGAGGTCTGTACACATTAGATCATCTGTATGGGTTTTACACATAGAGCTCACTTGCAAATAGTCAACTGCCTGGTTTTTCTTAATTGAAATGATCTCTCTCTCTCTGTTTACAGCTTCACCAGCAAGACACACAACATCAGTCTCTCCCTCACCTGCGGGGCGATCTCCATTGAAGGTACTGGCCTTTCTTTGGACTGCAGCTAGAGACTGGCCACATATTCTTTTTTCCCCTAAGACTTATCCCTGTTACCTCAAGATACACTATTATTTGCACAAACAAGGGGTAGAAAAGATGGGTGAGAAAACAGCACCTGGCTTTCCCTTGGGGAACTGCCTCCATGAATGCAGCCATTTGACTGCAGATTACTCAGCCTTATTTTCCAAATGGTGGCAGTGAGAGAAAATATATAAATCATAGAGTGTATAGACAGTTAGGAAAGACATATGGTCCCAGTGTATCTCCTAATATTTTAAGCTTGGTTTTTGGTTCAAGGCACACCTATTTTTTTAAAGGGCACTTACACTGAAAAATAGCAATTATTAAGATCTACTAAATATTCTCCTGTGCCTTTTTGCCTTTATCATCAGCCTCACCAATAATGCCAAAGCTAAACCCAACTTTCTCTCTGTAAATATTTTTACCAAGACTTTCACATTTACATTAGAGATATATACTTGTTAAGAAAACCAGAGCAATGGGGCCCTCCCCTGGTGGTGCAGTGGTTGAGCGCTGGGCTGTGAGGCTGCCCGCAGCCTCTGCAGTGCCGGTTCATTCCCCGGCTGCCAGCGAGGGTACCAAAAAAAAAAAAAAAAAAGAAGAAGAAGAAGAAGAAAAAAAAAGAAAACCAGAGCAATAAAATGAAGAAAAAAAGTGTGAAACGTTAAAGGGCAGATATTTGCTTTGCTATGTAGTCACAGGTTATTAAACATCTCTAAACAAAAAATCCCTCATGAAGGTAAGAATAATATTTAGTCTCTGTCCAAATTGAATCCAACTAGCTGCAAGGATTGATGTCACATACAAATTGGTGTTCAGAGTTGCTGCCCCAGAGGCAAATACAAGGCTGGAGTGAGTGTTGAAAGGAGATTTTGTACCTGAATGATGCAGGGTTCACACACTTGATGTCCTTTCTCTTGATGAGCTATTTCTAGCTGATGTGAAAGAAAGACAAATTAGCTTCTACAAACACAGGCAGGTTGTGATCTGATGCATCTGTGCTGCTAAGGATAGTGGTGGATATAAATTGAGAAGCTCAAAAACAAAACCAACAAAATAGAGAAAATCGGAAAGAAGTGTGATTTTGTTTGCACTTGCCAACATTTTGGATGTGGAAATTTGCTAGTGAGTGCAAGTTATTTGCTAGTTTTGTTGTCATCCTGCAATGCAGCTCTTAATCATAAAGTCCATGTGACTGCATTGGCTCTGGAAACCACAGACCGTCATCCTGATGTAATGAGGAGGAAAGCAACATGGTGTTTCCACATCTTTACATTTACCCTGACTGGAAAAGAACTCCCAGCATGTTGCTGTGGAATAACATCTGCGTTTTTCATCCTGATTTTGCAGAGTAGTAGCTAGACAATAAGAAATCTTAGGTTCTTATTTTTTTAACAATCATTTTCTAAGGGCTGAAAATTTGCCAAGTCACTACCAAACAGTCCTTGTTAGAAGATGGTATATACTATCACTGCAGATTTGTGTTTACCAGCTACATGCAACCTTGCAGCCACAGGGATTTGAAGGAAGAGAAATTGGCTTGTGTGTTGTACCTCCTGGGTTACATTAGAGGGCACACTGCTACCAAGTTACTGTTTTACTTTCATCAAATGTGATTTGTTGCCTTAATTGGGAGGGTTTTTCCACAATTAAGTGAAGTTAAAGACTGGGCTTACTTGCCTTATTTTGAACTTAAGACCTACTTTTTTTTTTATAAAGACAGCAGCAGTAAATTTGAGTATTTTAATTGGCCGTATATAATTTTAGTTGCTGCTAAATAAAGACCTCTCCTGTCCGCTGCTCCCCTCAGCAGTGTCTTCGGTCAGTCTGCCTGTTTTGCTCCCACTCTGTCTCTGGTGAATCCTCTCACCCTCCAGCGCCTCTGGCCTGTACCCCAGCTATTGTATAAATAAAAAATAAATCCTAAAAAAAAAGGGTATGTGACTATCAGCATTATGTAAAAAAGAAAGACCAAGTTAAAGTTAGTCTAGGGCAGCATTCTCAAAGTATCTTCCATATGACATTAGTTGTACAGATCATTATGTGATAAACGGAAAAAAAAATGGTCAAATAAGTTTAGAAAACATGGGGCTGAACAGTCATTTAGGTTTCTTCAAGACTAACAGGCTAATATGCTCTGAGTGTCCTACAGGGAGAAGATAGCATAGGGCATTTCACAGAGCATCTCTTAGGACCCCTTTCTTAGAACACCACTTTGGTAGTCTAAATTCAGATGTCAAATGTGGTGCAAATGACAAGAAAGTTGAGTCTGGATGTATCATTAGTCCAATAGTGCTGCCATAACAAAACATCACAGACCCATTGGGTTCAACCAAAGCAAATTTTCTCACAGTTCTGGAGGCTAGAAGTTCAAGACCAAGCTCGTCAATTGCTTGGTTTCTCAGAAGGTTTCCACTCCTTGGCTTGCAGAAGGCAGCCTTCTGAGTGTCCTCAGCGGTCCTTTCACCTACATGCATGCCTCTTTGGTGCCTGCATGGTCAAGTCTCACTGAGTTAGACCCCACCATGAAGCCTTCATTTTAATGTTATCACCCTTTTAAAAATCCCGGTCTCCAAATACAATCACATACCAAGACGCTGGGACTTAGGGCTGCAAAGTATGGCGGGGCAAAGGGGAGGCCAGAGGGGTAAGTTTTTCCATAAACCATGTTCGTGACTGCCTTGTCTCCGCTCTTACCTCCTCCTTTTCCATCTTGAGCAGAGCTCTGCTCAGTCTTTCACCCCCTCTCCAGTGGAGTATCACTCCCCAGGACTGATCTCCAATTCCCCAGTCTTGTCGGGCAGCTACAGCAGTGGGATTTCTTCGCTCAGCCGGTGTAGCACGTCGGAAACCTCAGGCTTTGAAAATCAGGGGAATGAACAGTCAGCGCCCGTGTCTGGGTCGAGCTACAGCGGGCCCGAGGAGCCGGTGCGCAAGGAGAGCAAAACGCCACCCCCATACAGTGTCTACGAGCGAACTCTGCGGCGCCCGGTCCCGCTACCTCACAGCCTTTCCATCCCTGTCACCTCCGACCCCCCCGCCTTGCCCCCCAAGCCCCTGGCAGCGCGATCGAACCCCCTGGAAAATGGGACCAGAAGGACTGAGCCCGGGCCACGGCCCAGGCCCCTGCCTCGGAAAGTCTCTCAGTTATAAGTCACTTTTCTATTCACCTGCAATGGATTCCTTGCCGTTTACAAGAGAGTAAGTATGAACGTGAGAAGACACTTAGTTAGGCACTTTAATAACTTACTCAGATTTGTCTTTAAATGAATGGAATTAAACCTTGCTTATTAATATAATATTGCACAATATTCACAGTTACTGATCTGAAACGCCAGCTGTTACATGAAGTATGGCTGAATTTCATTAAAATGTTTCATTTGAAAGTGGTAAATAGTAATTAAGACTTCTTTTGTATTTTTATGTTCACTTTTTTTTTTACATAGTTTAATCCTAAAACCAATACAATATTGTTGAACGTGTGATAATGTTGTATACTTTTTACGGAATACTTGATACTCTGAACAGAGCTTAGGAAGTCAACGTTCATTTTAACACAATGATCCTTGCTTTGGAAGACTTTGGAAAATGAGGAGATTTCCAGCTCTTTCCATGAGCAGACTGACCAGTGCATGTCAAAATTAAAAGTTAAAGGAAGTTAGTTAGACAGTACACTTCAGGGGTTGCAGGGACTGAGGCTAAAAGTTGTTTTGTTCTTGAAACAAAATACTTAAGGTGACCGAGGACATTTGACAGCTGTCCACACTTTAAAACTATTTTGTGATTAGGCTGGTAAATCTTTCAAGTAGCCTCACACCACTATTTTTTTTTTTTTCCAAGGTGCATTTTATTTTCAGAGTTCTAATCTGGTAGATTAAGCAAAAGACCCAAGAGAAATGTTTACTTGAATCCTATGCTTCCTTCCTGATAGTTTCTGCTGCAAAATTTGTCATTGAAGGAGAACAGGTGTCCCTGTATTAAATAGGCAAATTAATGTGTCCCATTAACAAGAATTCTGGAATCAATACAGGACAGTATTAAATCAATAGTGTAAATGGAGGGAAAAAAATCTTACAGAAAATATATTAGCATGATTAAATGTCAAAAGGACTGTCAAAAGGCAAGGGCATTAACTTGGAATCCTGCACAAAATAAATTCCTCAGAACTCTTCATTCTTACCAGTGGAGCTTGTCATCTTAGCTGATCCCCTTTGTCCTTTTGTTGAAGGAGGATGGCTGTAGACTGCTCTTGCTTGAAAATTGCAACCTAGCATCGTAGCTCTAAATAAGGATGCTCACGCCACAGTTGTAGGAGTGTGAAAAAGCACCTTGTATGTAGTAATGTATTTTGTATCTGTTTTTTCTTTACTGTTTATAACACTCAATTCACAATAGATATGAACTGTATTTTAAATCATACTGTTAAATATTTTCCCTCTTTTGTTGGGAAGCTCATTTTAGTTTAACCGTGTTTGTTTTTGTTGATAGCATACTGGAAGGCAGTGACCACTTTTTTATATTCTCTTAATGAAACCATTCAGCAGGTATACGCTGTTGAGGCTGGTTATAGAGGTTTTCTATAATAAATGTTCAGTATTTTTGTACATAACTGGTTAATTTTAATAAGAGATACCATTATGTGTAAAAAAAGTACAAATAAAAGCAAACAGTTGTGGATGCAGTATGATTGTTATAATTATGCCAAATACTTTATGTATCGAAAAAGAATATTTGTACATATGTGCTTTTAACAATTCTGCAATCTTGACTTTACAATTTTGAATGTCAAAAAATTAATATATGTTAAAATATTTATGTTTAGTGAAGGGATTCATAAGTGAGAAAAGGAACATATGAATTTTAGCTTTGTATCTTGCAAGTTTTGGAAATTTCCTGAACTAGCACTTGCTTTTGATGATAACACTTTGTAATCACATCCTTTAAAACATATATATTATGTATAAGAGATACATAATATATCTGTGGAGCTCCATGTTTCTGTTGCTTTAAAGAAGTAAAGATTTCCATTTAAATAAGGTGACATGCATAAGATAACAAAGCTTCTTTGATTTCCTTTTCCTCTGTAATTTAATAGATTTGTTGACTAGTGCTTGGGCACAGTATAAATCAGTGTTATTTGCTCTTGAAGCCATTAAAACTTTTTTTTGGCAATGAACAGTTCAATTTATCATGTGTGTGTATTTCTGAAGCAGCTATATAGCAGAACATTTCAAGAGATTCTGTTAGCTCAGATGTTCCTGTTGGATGCTGCTGAATGGTAAATATTAAATAAAATTACCTAATTAATCTTAATATTTCTGTACTTATTCCTGTTATCAGTGTGTCACTACCTGCTCTTTTGGTCATATTATAGTAAAATTTTCAGAGTTCTGTGTTGACAGATCCTGTTTTTACTGTTGTTGTTATACCCTGGTTGATATACTATTCACTCCAAAGTTTGTACCATAGAGAACAAAGGTTGTAAAGGTAACAACAGTATGGGTTACTATGAGTAGAAAAGGTAACATTTACTTACCTGTGTGGCTGACCTTGAATTGGCCTAACCAGACCCAATTTTAACAAGTCTACTATCAAAGTTTGTTTGCACTAGAAAATGACACAGAACAGATAACTGGCTGGTGTAAAAGGAATAGTTGAGAGCTGTTTTTGTCCACTGTGATAAGCTATCTGCATTCCAGCTTTTCTCCATGATTTTCATAAAATAGAAAATGTACTTCACAAACAAACACTGCAAAACCCATTGACTACAAGATCTCTGTTAATGAAGCTGAGCTTTTAATTTTGTGAGATGGGTCAGAGCTGTGTTAGATTTATGACATCTATGTAACTCAGTGCTAAGCAAGCCATTGTCTACAGCCTCTGTCCCATTAAATACCAAAACCCATTTAAAGGCCATTGTCAATGTCCTCCTGATTGTTTCTTAACATTAACTAAGTAATTTTAGAGCTTTTTGGATCATTTTCATTACAGCTGAGCACATAAGTATTTCGATTCTACAAGTATAATTACATTATGAATAGCTCTGTTTCCTACCTAAGTAGTCTTCCCTCTGGATTGTTATTGATTGTTCTACAAAACACAACAAAGAATAACAAGTTGCACAGCTTTGCCTTTATTTGATCTTTATACTTTAAAAAGTAGCTTGCACCAAAATGAATTCTTAGTTATTGATTGAAAGAAGTGTTGCCCCCATAATAAGAATAAAGCTTTGAAAATTTGACAATACCAATTCCATAACATAGCTATTATTTTTACAGAGTCCTTTTGTCTTATTCTACAAGTATATAATGTCTAATTTTTCCACATTGTTGAGTGCTGGCTCCCCAAGTATCATCAAAAAATTAGTTGACAAACCAGGCCTGAGCCCAGTGCTCACAGCCATGCGGGAGAATACCACCTCAACAGACCTTTGGTAGTGGTAGGTCTTTAAATGGGAAAGGCAAGGTCATATTTTACTGAAATTTAAAAAATTTTGTTTAGGATGAGTCAATGAGCAGGCCTTACGTTTGTGTAAGATCATGATGTCATTGTTAGGGTTGGTCTACACACAAGGCAAGAATTTTGAATGAAAGGCTTTGAAGAGCCTTAGGCTATAAACTATTGATTTGATGGCCCTATTAAAAAGTTTTTGGTGAACAATCAAGATTTGCCTGATCAAGAGATTGCTGGAAGAGTAAATTTATGCTAATGAACATTAGATTAGTGAAGTCACGGTCATGTAGACATATGCTAAATAGGGGAGATGTTTTCAGTCCTCAACATACGTGTTTCACCTAGCTGTAATCACAGAATATCTGACATTTTAACTGTTATTTTTTATTTACTGTTATGTCTTTTCACATTATTACATATGTGTGAAAAGCCAAGAATATACATTCCACTATTTAGCCATTCCTTATTAATGGACATTCTGGTGTTTGCAGTTTTTCACCAGTTGAAATATTGTTATATACACCTATTTCCATGTTTTGGATGTCTTTAAAATGGATTCCCAGACAAAGAACAGAAACAAAGGAAAAATGGTTTTTGAAGTTCTTTTGCACATTAGCAAATTATTTCCCAAAAGAATTGTTCCGATTTTAGTGCCACCAGCAATATTTTTGTAAGATTAGATATTGATAATATTCTTTCCTATGTGGGAAGAAAATATTGCTGCCTTTCCAAAATTTGAGACAATGTTTAACAATCAGTTTCTTTGCAGAATCTCATGCTAAGGAAATTGATGTCCTTGTAAAGGAAGTGAAGAGGAGAAACGAGGACAGAAAAGTAAGGCATTATACTTAGCATGGCTCGTACTGAAAATACTTAATTCCAGAGATTGCCAGGAAGACACTCTATATCTTCTATTGGTAAAAAAAAGTTAGAAAATCCCTGATACTCTGAATTCAAGTGCTTCCTCAGCCAGAGTTTACTCCTGTCATTCGCAAACAGTGAAGTCACCAAAACATATTATTAGAAATGTGATCAATAGCTGAACAACCATAATAAATGCTACATATAGTCTGCTGAGGGTACTCACCCCGAAAAGATGAAGCTGGTGAAAATGATGTTGCATTTGGGCTCACTGAAGACTTTAAGAGATAGAGGAGACAGGCATCTAGAAAACTTATAAAAGGGTGGTGGGTGTGGGGGTTGGTGGGGAATCAGCTTCAGAGAGAAAAAATGTCTATATATGAAAGTAAATCAGTTTATAGTGTACTATGTGGATCAGTCATCTATAATTATATTGGGAAGTAAGGGCTAGGAGTTTTTAAACATGGAGAAGAAGAAATTTTCATCTTCCATACAAGAATGTAACAGAAAATACCTAAAAGTTAATGTTTTATCTTTTAGAGATAAAAGGGTAAACATTAAGAAATAATATTTAAAAATAGAAAATAATTGGCCCCGGGAATGAAAAATAGCTGGGGGCAGGGGTATTTGTGGACTCCTATGAGTCAGGTGCTTTAATAAAGCTTGTGCATATGTGACTGTGGAACATTTTCAAAGTTTGGAGAAAATGAATTTTATAATATTCAGATACCACTGGTTTCACTTCTTTTGCTTATTTTTCCTCACTCTATATGCCAGAACAGATCTAGATTTAGACCTCTTTGAGCTTTGCATAGTTTGCAACCAGGTGTCTACATAAAGGAATGTGTGTGTGTGCCTCAAATGAAGCTCCTGGAATAGAAGTGATTGGCAGTGATATAAGCAAATCTCAGTCCTTTTAAATCATTTCTTACAGGTATCGGCTTCAACTCCTCTTTTTTTCTTTAATAGCAGCATTAAACAGCCAGTAGAAATAATTTTTAGAGTTCTGAAAGGAGCTCTGCAATTATACCAGTTTATAGTTCCTTGTGTGTCAATAATGGGAATTTTCTCATTCTCACGAAAGCACACACCAGTCTGGTGATTTACTTGAGTGGAGCATCTACCAACTTTATATAATTCTCCATCTTCACATTTTCTCCTTTTAATTCCTTTTCATAAAAAAACTTTCTAAAGCCTAAGAATCTACAAAAAAGTTAGCCGAATTCACTATATAAAATTTCAAGCCTTATGCAAGTCAAAGAAAAATATAGTCAAGATAAAAGCAAATAGTAGACTAAAAAGTGTTTATAGTGTCAAGGCACAAAGGAAATCTTTCCCTATCACTCTGGGTCTTCATCCTGACAAAACAACAAGGATCAGACAGATTAATAAGAGCAAAACTCAGAAAGAAGTGTGATAATGACACGTCTACCTCTTAGATTTATGGGAGAGACTCAGCTTGACTGAGTAACTTGCCCACGTGGCTTCAGATGCCATCCTAAAAAGCTTCACTAAGACAGAAGGACCAGGAGGTGAAAAGTGGGGTGGGGGGGGAGAAGATCAGTTAGGGATATCACTGGGGAAGGCACAGTAACAAATGTATGCAGATTTAGATTTTGCATCTCCATTGGGGAAAAAAATAGGTCTTCCTGGTACAGAGAGGTTTACACATAAATATCTTTTTCAAAAGCAATCATTACCCAGCCTTCAGCGCACCTCCCATAAAATCAACATTTTGCCAAAGACAAATTTGGGGATGGCAGATTTTTGGTCTACTACAGCATCAAATATGACACTATTAATAGCTTTATAAAGCATTCAAATGATTATAAAAAAGTAATAAGACTATTAAGGTGTGTAAGAATTGAAAAGGGAGAAGGATTTTGACAACAGTCTTAGAACTGTCTCCCACCTCCCATTTTTTTCCCCTTTGTACTGCTTCAAAAAACCTCAAGGGCTGGGGAGCAGGAGAGGCGATGTGCAGATGGGAGGCCTGAACTGAACGCTACATGGTGTGTATCAGGGCTGGGGCCTAGGGGCACTTGTTACTTCTGATGAAATAAAGAAAAATTGCAGAAACTACTTTTAAGACTTTCTATGCAGGGGTCAATCTATTTTACAGAAATCAGCTGATTAGTTATGAGCTTGGACTCAAGTATTTAGTGAGGTAATATTTTAGTTGCTATTTTAGTTTCTATTATTAATTTCTTAATGACTATTTTACTTCATTTAGTAGGTTTCAACATGTTTTATTCCTTCCTCTCTACCTCATCATGCTCTGCTGTGATTTCAAAGACTTTTTAGGCTAAGAGCGTGAGGTTGATTTTGAACCTTAAGTTTCAAGTGTTCTTGAATTCTTGAATTCTGATTGCTGCAGAATTTAAGTCAAAAGTACTTGAGCAACCTGGCAAGTGAGTAATGGTTTCCAGAGACTAATTTCCTAAGTTCGCATATTCCTGTTAATGGCTTTTAAAGAACAGTCCTACATTCTTTAAGATGGTGAGGGCTGTGTGAAGACACGTTCAAATCAGAGGCATAAATAGGAACAGGGTGCTAAAAGGAACTGATGGGCCAAAAAGTAGGAACTGGATGGCAACAGCAAATGTGAATTTACCGAAGATATGAAAGTGGTCCTTGACATTCTACGTGACTGCTAGCAATGCCCACTGGCTGCCCCAGCCAAGACTATCCAGTCACTACCTGCCACCTGTCATTGACCGGGAGCAGATTAATGATTGTGTTAAGGTTTCATCATTGAAGATGTTGATTCTTGACTTCTGTCCTTTATCAGGGCTTGAAAACATAAGCAGAACCCCTCCATAGTGGTTTTATGATCAAGACTAGATTTATTTGATGACTGAGGACCTACTAAGATTATAAACAGGTATACAAAAAAAGTAATGACCATTTCCCAGGAATTTATTCTTAATTG